AACCACCTTTCCTTCAGCCGCCAGATGCAGAAGATACTTCCAGACGCTCGAATTATGTAGGTCACCACCTTTTGTCAAATCCAGCTCCAGTACCTCCACATCCCGACTGGGAAAATGCCATTTTTGTTTTCCCGAAAATAGGTGTACCACCACCCTTTTTGCTCGTGCCAGCCGTCTCCTTTTATGACGGTTGAAAGGCAACGCCGCAATATCTCCACGTGGCAACAGCTCCATCAGCATATTTTCTGGTATATCCCCATAATACCACCGAAGAAATCTCCAGCATGCCTGGACGAACTCCTCCTCATTCGCTGACGCTGTCCGCGCTGCGCTTTGCAACGACGTTTTTACAGCCACCTCGTTGTCCGTATTCGGACACCCTTGAACCATACGTGCCACCTTCAAAGCTTGCTTTGGTGAGCACCAATCCATTTCATCAATGATCTGAAGCGCCACCTCCTTTTCCAAACAAGGGCACCCATTCAGATCACGAACGCGAAGTTCCCCCAGAACAGGATGTGAGGCTGTGCACTTGCCACCACGCCACTGAACTCTGAGACCAACCAAGGCGCTCGCTTTGCCAATTGGCACTAGTGGATCTACCACTTCAGGAGTTACCAGGGTCCCACCTGGAGTAATACACATCTCCCGAGATCCAACAGCTAAAGACACCAACACCTTTTGCTGCGGAAGCTGTTCTCCAGGACGAAGTGATCTGAGAGGATGTGATGCTCCCGAGTCCAACATGCCCATTCCCGAACACTCATTGGTGTCAGAAACCCTGGCCACATGTAGAACGCATACTCCTCGGCCTTCTCCCTGCTTCAGCAACAACGTGGCATCCGACGAACCGACTCCACAGTCCGTCCTTCCATTCCTCCATTGAGAATGGGACCAAGACACACGCTGCCTTTCAGCATGCAAAACCATTTTTTCAGCTGTTTTGTAATCCATAACCAAACAGCCATGTTCAAACCACAAGAGCTGGTCCAGCGAAGATTTTGCACCCACGTGACACATCCCATTGATCACAGTGAGGTTCGCCCCAAACTCCAAAATCAACCAGAGAGGGATAATCAGGGGCCCATTGTCTTCCCTAATCAACGTCCCTTTCTCTGTAATCCTCATTGCCACACCACCAAGCGCGCTTTGCACCATAACAGTAGTGTCGGGTAAACATTCCCATGGAAAAAGCGTCCGCACAAGATGCGTAGCAGCTGTATCCACCAACGCCACTCTCCCTTCCTGCTGAAACAATCCAGATCCACATAACATTCGAACACTGGGATCCCCGCTCGATGCTGACTGCGCTGATGACAGCTTCATAGATTTCAGCACTTCCAACGCTTCAGCAAGGACTTGATTGGGTGTTGATGGTGATGAGGGACTTGCAGAACCTTTATCCAATCCCGCATTAGCCATCTCATCTCCTCCTTCAGCTACCTCTGCCTTTTTGGCATTTCCCCATTTCGCACCTTTGCCGCCCTTTCCCCCTTTGGGAGAATTCCCTTTAGATCTGCTTCTCTCAGGGATTTGAGTCCACATTGGAACTTGCACCATCCTTATATGGACATTGCGGCTGCAGATGGCCAACGGCCCCACACTCAAAACATCTTCCTCGCTCAAGGGAGTCTTTGTCATGGCGAAATTTGCAGCGGGATCCGAACTTGCAACCTGCATCGGTCTTCCCATATATCCAACAGAAAGGACGTTCACCATCTCCGCTGTACCTTTTTCCTTTCCCTTTGCCTTTGTCACCCTCCTCTGTCTCGTCACCAGTTCCCTTTTGGGCCTTGTTTAACCTGGCCCTTTTCTTGGCGTCCGAGTCCTGCTTCACCTCTTGTTCACCAGCACTATGCAATAGCAGTTCAAACTCTGCCTGTAACATTTCAGCTAGTTGTGTCGCAGTTTCAGAGGTCGGCGAGTAGTCCACCCCCAATTTCTCCCGAAAGGATGCCACTCTGAAATGCACCGTAGGGTGTTTTGCCAGCAACGCGGATGATAAAGCATCCAATCCCTTGATAAGCAAGGTAGCGTCCGGCTCGGATGCTCGCAGCTCCCTTAATCGGGAACGCCATTGCGCCCATTGTCGCACTCCCTTAATAGCCTCTGAAATCGAGGTTGCTGAAGATGGTTGCACCAAGAAGTTCAACATTGTGCTGCGCTCATTTGCTCCACCTGGTTGGTAGACCGTCAGCAATTTGTAAAATATCATCACCGACCCCAACATTCGAGTGGAAACGATCTCGGTCTTCAATCTCTCCGGAATCGCCTGTAGCAGCAAAGACACCGCTCTCTGCTCCAACAAAACATGCACAGTTTGAACCACCTTGAGCCCTTCTAGCTCAGCCTTGATGCCCAACCTTTCCAGTGGAGAAACACTCAACCATTTGGCATACGCTTGATATGCCTTTGAGTAGACGCATTGCCACCACACTCTTCCTGTATCTGTCAGCGAAGACAACATTGGTTCGATCATTGCGATCCAATCACCCAGTGCCGTCGGATTGCTTGGTGTGTAGTCTGCCAAAGTTGGAAGGCTCATCACATGCTTCCCGAGAGCCTCCGGACGTTCGGTTCCAGAACTATCACCAGTGATTGGCATACCGCGTGGCACCACTGCTCCAGGAGGTAAGCTGACCCTTCCACCAGGCCCTTGAGGTAGTCCATGTCCTATACCAGGCGTAACAGCTGTGAGCGGAACCTTTTCTAATTCCAACTTCCCAGCGACCATTTTCCACCGATACGGAACATCATCCACCATTGTATATCCACCCGATCCTGCTGAGTTCTCTTGCGTTGCAGTTTCCCGAGCTGAAACAAAACCGGGCTGGTTCCCCGCAGGTGCGACAGAACCATCAACACCTGATGGCACGGAAGTAATCGGAACATGTGTTAAACCAGGTGGTCCACTTGCATATCCACCACTTGCAAGACCTCCCGTGGGGTAATTCAATGGAGGCAATCTGGAGGGTTTCTTCCCTTCAGCTACATGCATCATTGGCACTTCTTTTTCATCCTCCACTTGAACATCCCCCTTCCTGGACCCAGGCAAGGATTGAAGATCACAACCCTTTGGCAGGTCGTAGCCCTCAATAGGCAGCCATGTCCCATCAGGCAACACAGTCCAAAAACCACCCATACCATCCGTGTAGAAAACTTGTCCTGGCAGGTACTGCTTCTCTGGAGTCATTCCTAGAGGATATGCCGTGTTTGCGTCCACCACTCCAGAGCTCCGTGCCCTTGAAGCTGACCCAGATGCAGCAGAGGTATAGCTTTTTTCCTCCACCCGATGCAACCTGTTCCCCAGCTCCTTTGTCTGCACAAGCAACTCTTTCAGCGCACGCTTCACCACCGCCATATCTTCAGATTGCTCTTCACCACTAACATCAGGAATGAGTTCTTCGTCGGCTTGCACTCCACCAATAGTACCTCGTTCCATTTGTCCCATTAAGCCTGACGATGGTCTCTCAACAGGTGCAGGTTCCTGACCCAAAAGATCTTGCAGCGAAGGCGGTCTCCTCGTACCTTCACCACTCCTATCCCCTCCGCTCGCGGGAAGACTTGCCGGCCTTGACTGCCTAAGTCTCATTTCTTCTTGAGCCCGCTCGCTCCAGAAAGGATTTGCTGCTTGAACCGGAACCACTTCGTTTTCCACCTGAGGCGTTGGTTGTATCATTGCAACCTCCCTACCATCTGTCAGTGCTTGTACCATTTGTTGTCGATCTTCACCCCCATCACCACGATTTCCTTCGGCTTCATTGGCCGTTGGCGACAGTCCAGGCTCAGAGCGACGCCGCATCATGTCCATGGCGTTAAACAAACGAAAAATCTTTACCAATTCCGCAGGAAGCCTAATTTGGGCTCATAACCTACGGGGGGCAACCGAAGGAGGACAAGGAACAAAACAGTCAACCCCAACAGAAACCCTTAATCCCCCTGGAACAACCAACAACCGAACAACAAGACCCCAAACCAAGGGCACACTTTTTACGAAACCTTTGACCGCTTTGGTCATGGCTTGAGCCAAAGATTACCGGGTTCATTGACCCTTCAACTTCCAATACCAACTCCTTTCTACAATACCAATTGCAGCTCCGCACCCTAAACCCTAAACCCTAAGCCCTAAACCCTAAACCCTAAACCCTAAAACCCCCCAAACCCCAAAACCCCCCCAAACCCTAAACCCTAAACCCTAAACCCCTAAACCCCTAAACCCCTAAACCCGAGCCCCAAGCCCTAAACCCGACTCGTGGCACCCAAACGAGCGTGGGGCTCGTTTGGGTGCCAAGATCCTTGAAATTCACCCTAAACCCAGCCACTTCCAAGCTGCACGCGGCACTTCCCGGCACTTCCAAGCTGCACGCGGCACTTCCAAGCTGCACGCGCTCTGAAAGCCCTGGGCAGCCACCCATTTCGAAGTTTCCGGAATCCGAAAGCTTCAAAATACGTGGTAAAAACCAATGAAAACAAGACGTGTGTGCGGCCTGGACGCGGGAAAGACCGTGACTTGCTGTGTGCGCCTTGGACGCGGACATGCGTGCGGCTTGAACGGTCCGGCCCGCAGACGCCAGACTTCCGTGGGAACCTGGGAGTGTGAGTCAAGGACTGGTGGATGTAATGTCGAGGGGGAGATGCCGGATGCAATGTCGAGGGGGAGATGCCACTCAGATTTGATGCTTCAGTGAACGTTTATGCATTTGTAGACTTGCAAGGGCCTTGCTCAGGACTGGTGTGCTTGAATTTGAATTCACCAATCGTGATAGCAGGCGATAACGCAGGTTGTTAAGTCGTGTCTTGATCTGAGCATTGTGCGCTTTTTTCAGCAATGAATGGCAGTATGAGTTTTCTTGGGGCTCAAACATCAATGCTCCATGGGCATAAAGAACATTCCATGTTTTTCTATACTATAGAATCAACGCGCAGCCCATCTGACTGCAGACCATCGTATCCAGCGTCGTCGCAGCCACATGGTTCTCTGAAAGGCATGTGCGTGCCACATGGCGCAAGGCAGTGAGGCCCGGCCAGCTTTCGCATGCCATCTTGGTTTGCTCGCACGTTCACATGCTACCAATCTGAGATCTCGTCGTGCATGCTGGTGCTTTCAAACAACATATTGCAGTACGTTCACGCGCAACACTCTTGCATCCTTGGGCTTGACACCGGCTGGCGTTGCTGGCGCTGCTTTTTTATCGTTGCAATCCTGGCAACTCTTTTGGCCTTGAACCACTCTGTGTCCCCCTTTCTATGCCCTCTTGCAAAGCATCCTGGCCTCCCCCATTTTTTTTGCACAGCATTGGAGGTTGCTGCACGGATGGTTTCAGACTTCGAGATGCGCCACGCTGCCAATGGTCTTCGGATGCCGCCCGAAGAAGCCATGCTCGACTCAGCCTCAGTGACAAAGTGCCTCAGTGCATGGCTGATGACTGAACTTCAGAAAACTTGCCCCGGCGAGTCGGGTGAGCCGGGTGAGCCATGCCGAAGTCCATTTGCGCCAGTTGGAGAACACAGTTTTTCAGTTTCAGCTGCACTGGCAGCTTGCCATAAAACATCACAGGTTCTCTACTCTCAGGCCAAATCATGATCAAGGGTCACATGCAGAGCAAGGAAGACAAAACTATAAGCTGATAAACATAAAGATAACCCTAAAGACCGACATTCTTAACCGAAAAACCAGAAAGAAACCCCTTAAGACCGAAAAGCAAAAAGCACAAACATGTAGTTGATGACAAACAATCCTTTCCTAAACAAACATTCCAAACAGAATAACCCAAAAACATATGCTAAGGAGTAGGAAAAAGAACATGTAGTAGGTGACAGACAATCCTTTCCTAAACAGAGAACGGAAAGCCCCTGTTTCTCAAGCAGTAGGTGACAGACAATCCTTTCCTGAACAGAGAACTGAAAGCCCTGTTTCCTAAACAGAAAAACCGTTTTAAAACACGGAGCCAGGAAGAACAACACAGAAAGACAAAGCATTCTTAGCAAACATACCAATCAGAAGCCCTCAGGACTGAGAAAAACTACATGTCCCAGAAAACCAGAAGTTTCCTAAACAAAAGAAAGCAAAGATGAAACCCTAGGAGTTAGGAAAAACAACATAGGAAATCTAAACACTCTAAACAAAGAAACCAATACAGCAAACCTATGGACTGCAAATCAACAACAGAAAGCTCGTGACAAACAATCTTTTTTACGCTAGCATGTTTTCAAAGGTTTCCAAAAAAGAAACCCTTTGGAGTAGGAACAACTATAGCAACAAGAAAGCCCTGAGGAGTTGAAAAAGACATAGCGAGAGATCACATTCTTGACCCTGGACAAACCCCAAGGAGTAGAAAAAAAAAAGCAAAAAGAAGACCCCAAGGAGTGGAAAAAGGGAACACGGAGAGAGATAACATTTTTCGACCCTAGGCAGAGACATCCTGAAAGTTTGGGCCTGCTGTGCTAGAAAACAAAAACCCTGTTACCTAAAGAGAAAATCCCAATAAGAAACCAAACGAGTCAGGAAAAACAGGGAGCCGAAAAACAACATAGAAAGCTAAAAACATTCTAAGCAGAACAACCAAAAAGAAACCCTAAGAAACAAACAGCATGTAGTCCATGACAAACAATCCTATCCAAAACAACAAAACACAACACAATACCCTAGACAGCGAGAAGAAAGCCCTAAACAACAACATAAGAAGGCATTACTGACATTGTATAAACTCGAAATGACAAAAAGCCGTCTCAAAAATCAAAAAAGGATGGCGCAAACTGGAGTCTTAACACGGCGCTCTTTTCGGCACGCGCCGGATCCAATAAACATCATGTTCAGCGTCCAGTGCGCATCCCAGGGCTCGCTGGACAAGGAAGTCCCGGGAACTTTTCAAGGATGCACACTCGAGTCCGAACGTGATGTTTCTCGACCCCCCTTCCCCCGTTGCATGTACTTGTATACTTGTACCTCGTGTTTAGAGGATAACCACAGGTTAGCTGGTGGCTGTGGGCGGCAAGAGTTCATGGTGTGCGTGGGGGGGGGGGGGGGGGGGGGGGTAGCAGTTTCCCATTCGATTCCAACAGCTCGGTGTGTTGTTGCGATTTTGATTTGGCTTTGTTCCGGTGTTGCAACTGTCCAGTTCCACGGCTCAGCCCGGACAGTAGTCGACCGTTTTGGGATTTCAAGAAACAATTCGTGATTTCAGGCGTGCGTTGAATTTGGGAACGCCGCAAAAGGCTTCGGTCGCCTGAGGGATGCCGGATGCCGGGATGTGTTAGAGTGATGGAGGTGAGGGAAGGATAGCGGCTGGGGACAGCTTTGCGTCATCGGGGCTTAGGTTGGAGTTCAGGTTCCTGCCGCCCCAGCGAAAGATGTCCGTCAAGGCTGTCCAAGTGCACCCGTACTCACCATGACCCGCGCTCCCTCTCCGAAGAGAGAATCTCTGCTCAGGGCAGGGGTATGTTCAGCAAGACAGTCGGGGTCCTCGTGGGGCACGCAATCCCAGTCATAGACCAGAAACCCCCCACGGCTGAGGCTTCTAATAAGAAATCTGCCTTTTTCAGCCAGGGTTTCGAAATTTCTTAAAACCCCAAATGGAAATAAGAAAGTTAGGTTTGAACCAGACCCTGAAATATGTTTCTTATTCGAGGGTTGATTAGAGGTGAGTATAGGGACAGAGTTGGGGAACATGTAACTCACCAGTGTAGAGCTTTTCGGTGTGCTCTAAGCTCTAAACCCTAAACCCTAAACCCTAAACCCTACACCCTAAACCCTAAACCCTAAACGCGGGGAAGAGGCCCGGCACAAAAAGTCACCTTTTTTGGGCCTTTCCGGCCTGAAACACCTCAAAAAAGGTGACTTTTTGTGCCGGGCCTCTTCCCCTAAGCCCTGAGCCCTGAGCCCTGACCTGTGCCGGGCTTCCCCGCAAGAGCCCGGCACAAAAAGTCACCTTTTTTGGGCCTTTCCGGCCTGAAACACCTCAAAAAAGGTGACTTTTTGTGCCGGGCCTCTTCCCCTGAGCCCTGAGCCCTGAGCCCTTAAAGGCTTCCCCGCAAGAGCCCGGCATCCCCGCAAGAGCCCGGCACAAAAAGTCACCTTTTTTGGGCCTTTCCGGCCCCAAGCACCTCAAAAAAGGTGACTTTTTGTGCCGGGCCTCTTCCCCGCATGAGCCCGGCACAAAAAGTCACCTTCCGGCCTGAAACACCTCAAAAAAATTTGTGCCGGGCCTCTTCCCCACATGAGCCCGGCACAAAAAGTCACCTTCCGGCCTCAAACACCTCAGTTTCTATGGCAATCGCGAAAGAAGAGCAAAACCAGGCCCAGAACAACCCCCACACAAAATGTAACCGGTGGGGTTCGAGCCCAGGCCCGCCCGACACAAAATGAACCCGGCGGGGTTCGAACTGGTGCCCATTGGCATCAAGGACTGTTGCTTTGCCACTGAGCTATTCGGACTCTGAAACCCTCAAGAGAATGATGTGTATTTACTACTTTGCTACAATGGAAAAGGTTTTGCCGTGAAAGGTGACTTTTTGTGCCGGGCCTCTTCCCCGCAAGAGCCCGGCACAAAAAGTCACCTTTTTTGGGCCTTTCCGGCCTGAAACACCTCGAAAACGGTGACTTTTTGTGCCGGGCCTCTTCCCCTAAGCCCTAAGCCCCGAGCCCTGAGCCCTGAGCCCTGAGCCCTTCCCCGCAAGAGCCCGGCATCCCCGCAAGAGCCCGGCACAAAAAGTCACCTTTTTTGCCCCAAGCACCTCAAAAAAGGTGACTTTTTGTGCCGGGCCTCTTCCCCGCAAGAGCCCGGCACAAAAAGTCACCTTTTTTGGGCCTTTTGGCCTGAAACACCTCAAAAAAGGTGACTTTTTGTGCCGGGCCTCTTCCCCTAAGCCCTATAAGCTATAAGGCCTGAGCCCTGAGCTCTGAGCCCTGAGCCCTGAGCCCTTGAAGGCTTCCCCGCAAGAGCCCGGCATCCCCGCAAGAGCCCGGCACAAAAAGTCACCTTTTTTGGGCCTTTCCGGCCCCAAGCACCTCAAAAAGGTGACTTTTTGTGCCGGGCCTCTTCCCCGCATGAGCCCGGCACAAAAAGTCACCTTCCGGCCTGAAACACCTCAAAAAAGGTGACTTTTTGTGCCGGGCCTCTTCCCCGCATGAGCCCGGCACAAAAAGTCACCTTCCGGCCTCAAACACTTCAGTTTCCATGGCAATCGCGAAAGAAGAGCAAAACCAGGCCCAGAACAACCCCCACACAAAATGTAACCGGTGGGGTTCGAGCCCAGGCCCGCCCGACACAAAATGAACCCGGCGGGGTTCGAACTGGTGCCCATTGGCATCAAGGACTGTTGCTTTGCCACTGAGCTATTCGGACTCTGAAACCCTCAAGAGAATGATGTGTATTTACTACTTTGCTACAATGGAAAAGGTTTTGCCGTGAAAGGTGACTTTTTGTGCCGGGCCTCTTCCCCGCAAGAGCCCGGCACAAAAAGTCACCTTTTTTGGGCCTTTCCAGCCTGAAACACCTCAAAAAAGGTGACTTTTTGTGCCGGGCCTCTTCCCCGCAAGAGCCCGGCACAAAAAGTCACCTTTTTTGGGCCTTTCCGGCCCCAAGCACCTCAAAAAAGGTGACTTTTTGTGCCGGGCCTCTTTTTGCAGAGGCTTTAGGTTGAGACTACGGGGCTTAAGGGATTAGAGGGTTTGAGGCTTGCAGTTTCTTGGGTTCTTGGTAAATATGACAGAGAACGTTACTTAATACTTCCTCGGCGGAATTTTTTGGGGCGAGCCCGCGAGGCCCTGGATTTTAAAATGCGTGGCCGGTTCAGGTCCAGATTTCTTAATTAATAAAATTTCTTAACACACTCCTGGGCCGCACCTGGCACCCGCACTCACTATCCTTCACAGTCACCATCACGTGGGCCATACATGGTGGCACCCGCCCGCCCGGTTTTGTTTGATATTATGTTTATCAGCGGAGTGCCAGAGTGCCCCCCGATTTCCTCCACCTTTCCTGGTAGACGGGCTTAGACGGGGCGCCTTATTTCTGCAGCGGCTCCGCATTATCCGGGCCTTGGGGGCTTGGGGGCTTCCATCAATGCGACACGCGAGGTCCAGCTGCTGCCACAAGGCTGGACTGGCAGGGCTTTGGGGCCCGAAAAAGCTGGCCACTTCTGGCGGCATTGTTACTGGTTGCGCGGGTCGGCAACATGGCATGCAGTGGCATGCAATGGCAGTGGGATGCAGGTATCCGGGGTTTAGGTTGGTGTCGCCAAGGCACCCTGGCGAAAACTGGTTGCTGCTTGGGCAAAGGAGCATCGGCTGCATGAAGGCAGCCTGTGCCTCGCGAGGGACTCCGGTGACTTGCTGCCGCTGGATCAGAGCCCCGCGCAATCTGCGCTTGGCCCACTTGGCACCCCAGCCCGCATAAGGATTTCGCTGACGACCGGGGCGACTGCAGAGGAGGAAAGAGCCTGGACAGCAGCGGGGCAGGAGCATGATCAACTTGATCAACTTGCCAGCGCAGTTCCGGATGGCTTGCAGCACGTGCGAGTGACAGCATGGCGCAATGACAGCGACAGTGTTTCAAGCTCGCTGGTTTTCTGTGTGTCGCCAAATGCAGCCCTGCGGGGATTGATGGTCGATTGGTGCAGCAGGCAAGGCATTGATTTGGCTGACGTTTGTTTCAGGATGGAATCTCAGCGTGAACTTGCACCTCTAGATACGTTGTGCGGACTGCTGGGTGCAACTCTACCACAAGAGGACGTGATTGACATCCGGGCAGATCCAAAAAGCACGACGCAACCAGTGCAACCAGATGCGCTCAAGCTGCCTGATATGCAAATCCCAGCCAAGGAGGTGAAGGAGGTGAAGGTGGGGCCTAGAGAAGTTGCCCCAAAGCCTTCAGTACCGCGTGTTCAAGTCCGAGTTGCCGCGCAGAACATCCTCAGCGAGCGTCTGAAATCCGAAGCCGGATTGAGTTTCTGGACCAAACTCTATGCGCCCTTGAGTAAAGTCATTGCTGCCTGGTGCAAGCATCATGGTCTCGCTGCAGATACCGTGGTCATTTTCTGCAAAGGGAAAGCTGTTGACGGCAGTGACACCCCAGCCACACACGGCTGGGCAGCAGGTGCAGAGGTGACCTTGGAAGCCTTCCACATCAGCGACCCGCTTGCACAGACACGAGCAAGTGAATCGGCAAGTACCGGCCAGGAGCAGCCAGACCAGGACCGACCCGGCCGTGTGCTCTGTAAAGTCTATGACAATGAGGAGTGCCTTGAGTTCTGGATGCGGCCTTCGACAGCATTTCATCGGATGATGACTGCATGGCGGCAGCATCGACAGCGCAAGCCTCAGCACCTGCGATTCGAGCTCACCAACAAGGATGCTCAGGGCCTTCGCGCAGGAGACATTGCTTCTGATGAGACACCAGCTAGCAGAGGTTGGTCACCAGGCCTTGCGCCGGCCTCAGATTTCATTCGGTCCATCGGTGTGGTGAAAGTGTTGTCATGGCCCTTTTGCCTGCTGACCTTCACAGCCTTTACATGCATTGCACAGGTGCTCATGGTGCATGTCCATTCAGTATCTTCGTCAGCAGATGCCGCACGCTGCTGCGCACCATGCTTGCTTTCCTTCCGCTTGGGACTTGCTTGAGGATGATGGAGCAATTTCTCGTGGATGCCGCAATAAGGTGAGTGCTTGCACACACAGTTTCAGTTGTGGGGTTGCCGGCATCATTTTGTGACTTGCTTGTTGTGATTCTTCTGTTCGGAGTGGTGAAAACCTGGTTCTTGTTCCTGTCATTGGTGTTGCTCTTGTTCATTCTGCTGTGTTGTTATTGCTGGTATTGCCCTTGTCGCATTAATTCTTGTTGTTTTCGTTTTTCGTTTTAATGTTGCTCTTCGTCACTACTGCACTTTCTTGTTCTTACTACGGCTGAGGGAAGGAAGGACGTGGGATAGGGGAAAGCCCATGAGGACAGGATATATGTCCTGCATCGACCCATTCGACCCATTCCAATGTCCTCACTCCTTGCCCAGTCCTGTGCATAGAAGGCTGCTAGAACGGCTGCAGCTGTAAACTGCACCATTTCAGCTGCCATCCTTGTCGTTGTCAAAGCTGAGGAGGCACCTCTCGCTGATCCGATCCTTATCTGCACTTGCTGACAGTTCATGGTGTTGATGCCGTGGGGCAGCTTAGCGGCTTAGCGGCAGCTTCGTGCTTTTCTGTGCTGCCCAAAGGAATGGCAGCGTGCCAGTCAGAGTGGAAGCGGACAGCCCAAACGGAGTGAACGAAGTGAAGTTCGACATGACGGCCTGGCATGTTTACATGATGGTAGCATTGCGAGCATTGCGATGTTTTTCTGCTCCTTACGATGCAGTAGGCAGGACCGACATGTGACTGCAGTTGCCGGGCCCCTGTAACTTTAGGTTTCAGAGGCGGGTGGGGTGTGGTGGTAGCTGAGCTTTTCAGGATTTGCCTGAGGCTTAGCAGTTTGGGTGACATTGGGAGACTGGATGCGGGTCTCTGCCATTCTGAGTCCCGGCCTGTGCTGCCGACGGGGTCTCTTTTGGGTCGTGTGCTGTGCTATGCTGGTGCTTGCACTTTCTTTTGATTGCTTGGGCACCGTGCAGACCTAAACCGCAGGACATTGACTGACTCTCTTTCAACGCCGCTTACTTTTTGCCTCTTTTGTTTGTGCAAGAGGAGGAAGATAGGAAGACAGGAAGGTCAAGGACCTTGATACTGAACAGAACCCATCAGAACCCTCGAATCCCGCTTGAAGCATGGGAAACCTGAAGCTTTGACCCTCAAACCTTAAATCCCAACAGGTTCTAGGCCCTAAAACCCAGCCTAACCCTAGCCCTCAAAGGCCCGCAACAAAACGACCAACCCTGACCCTGTAAAACTGAAGTTCTCGTCGCCCTAGAGTCAAAAGACCCGAAATCCTCTTCTGCATCTTGCCATCTGCGTTGAGTGAAGTATTGAAGTGTTGCGAAGCGTGTGTCCCGCCATGTGCCACATACCCTCGAGATGCTTACTAGTCCGACATCTCAACTCTAAAGTATTGAGACCTCAGCCCTTACCATCCGAAAAACGCAGACCCTGAAAACCCTGAACAGAAGCAAAGTACTGAAGTTTAGCATTGCTGATTACATGCATGACTGCGTGCCTCGAGTCCGCTCAACAAACAGCTTCAAGTGCTCCAGCTAAGGCTGTTGTAAAAATAACTTAGAGTCTCATGGAGCACTTAGAACAGTGTTGCAATTGTTAACGTTTGTTTTCCTAACTTCTCGGTGCCAATTCCTGAAAGACCCGGACAGCTGCGTGCAGAGCACCAAGAAATTCCAAAGTTGCTTCAGACTGCCTCAGACTGCCCTCCCAGCAACGCAGACTCTGGTGTGTTCATGGGACACGGGAGCTGCACTCTCTGCGAGCAAGGCGCCTATCTGCACCCCTGGGAAAGATGATGAAGGCGGAACCTGCACGGGCTGCAGGCATGCAACTAGCATCACAGGCTTTGTCTTCCTGTTAAGCTGGTGGCATCTTCATGGTAGTTCGCGCGTTCTTGTTGTGAGTTCTCACAACGACCACCACCACAACCACAACGACAACGACGACGATTTCGAAGACGACAACGACGACCACAACAACAAACCTTCTATGACTTTCTCAAGACACAGAAATCTTTTTTGAAATAGTTTAATTTCCGTGAATGCACCAACAACAGCAGCAGCAACAACAACAACAACAATCATCACAACAACAATCATCACAACAACAATCACCACAACAACAATCATCACAACAACAATCATCACAACAACAATCATCACAACAACAATCATCGCAACAACAATCATCGCAACAACAATCATCGCAACAAAAAATCATCGCAACAACAGTCATCACAACAACAACCATCACAACAACAACCATCAACAACAACAACAACAACAACAACAAACATTAACAACAACAACCATTAACAACAACCACCAACAACAACCAACAACAACAACAACAACAACAACAACAACAACAACAACAACAACAACAACAACAGCAACAACAGCAACAACAGCAACAACTGCAACAACAACAACAACAACAACAACAACAACAACAACAACAACAACAACAACAACAACAAAAACAACACCAGCAGCAACAACAACAACAACAACAACAACAACAACAACAGCAACAACATTTTCATTTCATATCATTTCATTTCGGACGCATGTGCGGGGCACGTCCCGCACCTTGGCGGGCATCGAGGGGTAGAATGACTTGAAATGACGGCTAATTCTAAGTCAACTAGAGCGCTGTGTGTAACGCGAATGCTAGTATTTACAGCATGTTTGCTTTCAAATCCAAAACAAATCGCAAAAAAAAACAAAAACTATGTTTTCCCCACTCGAGTATTCAAATTTTCGAAAACGACCCTCAAAAAGCCGAGTAAAACGCACGTTTGGCCCAAAAAACCTTGTTCCCTTCGCGCCGGGGGGCAAAAGCTGCTACTACTACTACTACTACCAAATAGGAAGGAAGCCTGCTAAAATGAATAGCAACCCTTCACAAATCAACAAAAGACCGGGTTACAATTCACAGGATTCCTATTAACACCAGCAGGAATCTTACTAAAATTGATAGGAACCAATAGGCCTGAAAAAACAATAGAATCCTTTAACAAGAACTCATCGGAATCCTACTAAACTATGTGAGCCTAATCCAATAGGAATCCTTTAAAATTAATGAAAACCCTTTGCGAATCCCAATAACATGAACAAGAACCCTGTTTAAATTGATAGGAACCTTATTACATTGGTAGCTTCAGATATCTTAGCTAAGGAATAGTTTTTAGGATAGATGTCATGTCTTGCGTATTGGGGCGTGATTGATTATAGGGAGGTTTTGGTACTCTCTCGAGTCAGATTTTGCAGGATTCGAGTTTGCTTTTGGGTCCCTCCTCGAGAAATGGTGGCTGGGAGAGAGCCTCAGATCACGAAATTCATGGAAAACATTGGTTTTGCCAATGTTTTTGAAGGATGGTGCCGAAAAACATTGGTAAAACCAAGTTTTTGCAAAAATAAATCCATTGTTTTAAACCATGTGGCTGGGAGCACGAAATTCTTGCACGACCTTGGTTTTACCAATGTTTTTGAAGGCTGGAGCCGAGAAACATCGGTAACACCAACATTTTCCAAAAAAACCATGGTTTTCAACCCATGTGAGCACGAAATTCATGGATGATATATCAATGTTGTTCAAATTTGTGCAAAGCAGGACCTAGAGAGAATTTTGTCACGTCTCTCGCTCGAAAGCATCAGGACATTTCGTTCATCGCTCACCAGATGAAAGAAAAAGATACTGCAGCGTGCTTGATTGTCCATGTTAGCGTAGTGCTTTTGTCACGTACAAAGGGGCACTCAGAAATATAGAAACACACACAAAGCACAAATACCAAAAACAACTGCACAAAAAAAGCGTACAAAAAGGAAATAACACCAGAAAACCTAAAGAAAACCCAAAAAGCACCCTTCAGAAGACACCGAAAAACCGTACAAAAGGAAATACTACAGAAAAGACCCAATAATGCACAAACATCACCAAAAACAAAAGAAAACAATCCTGAGAGACTCTTCCCAGGGGTCCGGCTCCCCAACAGAGTCCCTCAGGATTGTTTTTTTTGTGTTGTTGGTTTTTTTGTTTTTTTGTTTTTGTGGACAAAAATCCCCAAAATCCATAAAAGCCAAAAACAACACTCTTCCCGGGGGTCCGGCTCCCCAACAGAGTCCCTCAGGATTGGTTTAGTTTGGTGTTTTTGTTTTCTTGTTTTTTGTTTTCGTGGAGATTTTTTGTGTATTACTTCTGTTTGAACGTGTTCGTGTGTTTTTAGGGTTCTTTTTTAAGGTTTGCATTTTTTGTGAAAAAGTGCACTCCCACAGCGTCCCATTTCCTACCCCTACCAGTACCACTACGACTAACACTAAAACGAACACTACCACTAACATTAACACTGACACTAACAACAACTACTACCGCCCACTACGCGAATAGTGTCGACGACTACCATTACGTCGCTGCTTCCAATAATAATGAGGCCATTCTGTTGGGGCCACGAAATCATGGTCATGCTCAGAGGCGTGCGCTCTGTCCATGGCTCCACTGTATGAGCGACTGGACAAGGCCCCTGGTACCATGTCACGACTGCTGGTCAGCCAGCACCAGGGGGTCTGGGAATAAGTTCGACAACGGCACAAGTGAAAGCACGAGCACCAACGCGAGGGTTAAAGTGCACCGCAAACGGATGCAGCAGCCAGGGCCACAACTGTAGAGCGCACAGGCGTGGTGCAGCCACCATGGCCTGGCTCTTGACCAAGCAAAGTTCCTTTTCAAGGGCAAGGAATTGACAGCGGAGGACGGCCAGAGAATGACAGCCATTGGGTCGTAAATGCTGGCAGCCCCGTGACATCTTCACTTGTTTTGCGAGAAATTTAGAGATGATGGGTTCTTCCATGCCCCGAAGGACACCTTGATGTCGTTGGGTTGCACAAGCGGAGAGATCACTTTCAGGGCGGCCAGCAGCTTAGGACCCTGGGAGCAGAGAAGGAAACAGGGTGACGGTCTGACTGAAGCGAGGAACCTCAGAAGCCGAAGAGTGAAGGGCCCGAAGGGCCTTCAAAGCCAGAGCTGAGACAGGCACTGCAGTACCGTCCAACCTCTCTTCTCTCTGTTTTTTTCTTCTTGGGCGTGCTCTGTTGCTAATGGAGCGCCCCAGCGACGCTATCAGGATGAGTCCGACCAGCTGCCAGCTCAGTTTTGGCGATAGACTCCGTTGGATGTGGCGTTATTCGCGGCCACCGAGGCGAAAAGCATCTGTCAAGGTGGAGGCCGAAGGTACGGATGGTCTGACCGAACTTCGCTTCAACATGCCAAGCTGACGAAGTTTCTTGAGCTCTTTGAGCTCTTGTGTCTTATTGCATCCGGTTTCGGAATGGGTGGCCAGGCGGATGTCAACTCCACTTATGAAGATGATGCAGGCCTGGCATGTGCTGGCAGTGGGTAGACTCTGGTACAGCGTGGGTCGCGTGACTACGTCGGAATCCCCGTTTCTGCCACACGCGGCCGTGAGCAGATTGGACAGCTGCCTGAAGAAACCATTCAATCCTTGTGGAGAGACCTCCAGAGCTTGTAGGGCAGCGTCTGGATCAACTCTTCGGCACATGAGGCGACAGCAGAAAAGGGTTTGAGCAATGATGAAGATTTCCGCGGTCTCTGTTGAGCACTTTGAGTCTTTGAGTCTTTGAGTTCTGCATGTTATTTGTCCATGTTCTCAGCTCTGCACTCCGGTCCGGTCCGTTTCACTGCACTCTGCTCTATTTGGACACGTGTCCTCCTCGAAAAAGCTACCGGTGGGGATCTTTTGGTGCATCAGCATAACCTTAATACTTTCTTCACAGACTCGAAGTGGAATATCACCGCTCACTTGAGGCCTGGTGCGAGCACAACCAGATTCCCGTAGATGAGGCCGACTTCCTCCTGGGCGCCGTCCTGCTGAAACCCGAGGACGACGGGACGACGGTTCAAACGGTTCAATATATCGCTTTTTGATAACAATCATTCGTCATTCGTCGTCGTAGTAGTCGTAGCCGCCCATGCGCACCCCCTCGGAGCCTGGTACGTTGTCTCGCTTTTCGTGTTTTTGAATGTGCCCCCAGCGACCCGCACCATGATTGCTTCCGTGTTACCAGTGCGTGCGAATGGCGAGAGCATCTATGCCCGCGAAGACTGTGAACATGAGACCTATCTTTTGGCATATTTTGGCCTAAACCCCTTAACCCCGAATGCACAAACCTTGCACCCAAACCCTGTCTTGCTTGACGCTAAACACAACGGGCATGTTTCTTGAGTTTCTTGTACGCACGGAGTTTGGGCTGGGAAGGCTTTGCCCTAGGCCCTAACATGGCCCTGACATCGGGCACGTCATGCTTTCGTCACTTAAACGCGGCAGTAAATCCCGAATAGCCTGCGGGGTTGACAAAGCACAGGCAGCCAGGCGCCCTGGGGCGTGCGGCCGTCGCCCGTCTTCTTAGGCTGATCCTTGTGCTTGTTGCTGTACTCGCATCTCCCTTCACGCAGCCTCTCTTCGAATTCAGGAAACGGCAAGGCAGGGACTTCTTGTCCTTCCCAGCACCCCGTCCTTGGCTAGACGGCCTCCTTTGGCCAGAGCCTGCAGCTCCAACATCCTCCGCCCTGGAGTGCCTTCAAAGATTCGTACTCTTTGAGCACTTCGTGAGCTTCCTCCCAGGTAGCACAGGTACGAAACGCAGTGCCCCCAGCCCCGTCACTCATGTACCTCTTGTCCCGGCGAATTTCTCCGGACAACTCCGGGCCCACTTTCTTGAGGTACTGAAGCATGGTCTCACGCGCTGTCATGCCTAAGCCTACAGCTTCGCGCTCAGACAGCCGCTCCTCCCAAACGGTTTCCCACTGCTGAGCGGACAGCCTTCCCTTGGACAACTGATCCCAAGCCTCCAAAACCCGCAACTCACCCTCTTCCTGAGTTTCGGAAAACATCAAGTGCTTTGTCTTGATCTCCTGGTAAACCATCCCAGGATCCGTCACAGTCCCATTACTCAGACCTCGCTTGTACAGCAGGTCATAGGACTTTAAACGGTGTTGCCTCCCTTTGCCCGTTGTTCGCTAGATGAACCGTCGACTCAAACTGATCATAGAAGTCAGCCACAGACTTGTGGTCCGTGAAGTCGTCATCCAGGACAGGCCACGTGACTGAGAGATCTGGATAGTGGAACGAGGTCTCTGCTCTCGCCCCTTCGACTTCTCCAGAGCCTCCGCAACTCCGCCTTGGTCTGCTCCATGAAGCCTCAAAAGGCTCTCCGCTCCAGTAGGCGAAGACGAGCCAAAGCGCCACTCAAGGAGGGCAGAGGCCGCGCTTCGACGCGGCTCCGGCCTACTAGGCTCAGCCATGCTCAGCCTTAGCGGCCGCCACTCCCAAACCCCCCAAGGGTCTCCGACACCAATGGCTCGGGAACTTCCTTTAGCAGGGGAGGGTTCCGAGCTGCTGAACAACCCCTCCGCGCCATCCACAAGCTCTTGCGCGAACCGCATCTTAAGATGCCGTAACTGTTCCTCGGGACCAAGGCTCTTGAGACTATCCACGATCTCGGCCCTAGCATTCAGGACCGCTATCTCCGTCGCGTCCACGAACTCACCACTCATCTCTAAAGCCTCGGCACACCTCGTAACTCGCTTCTGGAAAAACGGTCTAGCGTCTCCACATCCGGTTCAAAGGGCTCAGCTGGCTTCCTTCTCAGCTGATCCACTCCCCCCGCGCAAGCCTGAAAACCTCAAATCCCTCCCCCGACGCTTTCAGGCCTCAAACCCGGGGGGAATCACCGTTTCGACGCTCTCAAACCTCAAAACCTCAAATCCCTGATTCCCCCACGCTTTCAGGCCTCAAACCCCGCCCCCCCCCCCCTCCCCCCGCCACGGGGGAATCACCGTTTCGATGCTTTCAGGCCTCAAAACCTCCGTGTGGGGGGGGCTTCTTTCAAGCCTGAAAACCTCAAATCTCTGATTCTGCCGCGTTCCCGCCCCGTTTCCTCAATCACCGCTTTTCAAGCCTGAAAACCTCTTCGAGGCCCCGCCCCCCCCCCCTCGAGTTCCCGGCCCGCGCCCCCCCCCCCCTCCCTCCCCTGTGATTCGCCCCGGTTCCGCCGTTTCGACGCTTTCAAGCCTCAAACCCCGCGCCCCGCTTTCAGGCCTCAAACCCCCCCCCCCCCCCCCCCCCCTCCCCCCCCCGCACAGTAATCACCGTTTCGACGTAGGCGTCAAAACCTCCCTGATAGTGTTATTCCCGCCCAACCCGCTGTTACCAAGAACGCTGTGGTGGTGGTGGTGGCGGTTGCGGCGGTGGGAGCGGTGGTGATGGCTTAAGAATACAGCACGGAGGGAAACACGGCTAGGATAGTTGCTGCAAGCCATGCAGGACACGCTTAGCAGCTTGGGCTGTCTTGTTGATGATGAGATCGTTCTCAGAGCTGCCAGAGTCCTGGCGCCATCCTCAGCTGATTGCACCGGGTGGCGGGCATTGACTCAGGTTCCACGCGAACAGGGTGGCGAGGGTGGCGCAGCTGGCGAAACCATGCCAACCTCTGCGCCTGCCAACGTGGCGCCACCTCAGGCTCATGCCGACCGTGCTGCGTTGTTACTAGTTGTTACAGGGATAGGCCCGGACAGGAATCACACTTGTCCAACTTGTTGTGACCTGGATCCAGTTCGTGGGTTCGGTCGACCACATGCACAAAAACACCCGGATATCGGGCGTGCGTCCACGCGCGGTGTAGCACCCTCCCTGCGCATTGCGCCTTTGCACGCAATTTCCAGACTAAAACAAAATCACAGGTTTGTGAATGAACAATTCCATTGCTTCGATCATGCCCTCACCCTACAGCGAACCATTGAAGACAATTCTTCTGCCGCTTTCGGACAGTGGAGGAATGAAGAGGGGACACCGTTAACCTCTTCACCGGTTTTGCGAGAAGTTTGAGATGATGGGTTGCTCGGAGCGGCGAAGGAAACAGGGTGACGGTCTGACTGAAGCGAGGAACCTCAGAAGCCGAAGAGTGAAGGGCCCGAAGGGCCTTCAAAGCCAGAGCTGAGACAGGCACTGCAGTACCGTCCAACCTCTCTTCTCTCTGTTTTTTTCTTCTTGGGCGTGCTCTGTTGCTAATGGAGCGCCCCAGCGACGCTATCAGGATGAGTCCGACCAGCTGCCAGCTCAGTTTTGGCGATAGACTCCGTTGGATGTGGCGTTATTCGCGGCCACCGAGGCGAAAAGCATCTGTCAAGGTGGAGGCCGAAGGTACGGATGGTCTGACCGAACTTCGCTTCAACATGCCAAGCTGACGAAGTTTCTTGAGCTCTTTGAGCTCTTGTGTCTTACTGCATCCGGTTTCGGAATGGGTGGCCAGGCGGATGTCAACTCCACTTATGAAGATGATGCAGGCCTGGCATGTGCTGGCAGTGGGTAGACTCTGGTACAGCGTGGGTCGCGTGACTACGTCGGAATCCCCGTTTCTGCCACACGCGGCCGTGAGCAGATTGGACAGCTGCCTGAAGAAACCATTCAATCCTTGTGGAGAGACCTCCAGAGCTTGTAGGGCAGCGTCTGGATCAACTCTTCGGCACATGAGGCGACAGCAGAAAAGGGTTTGAGCAATGATGAAGATTTCCGCGGTCTCTGTTGAGCACTTTGAGTCTTTGAGTCTTTGAGTTCTGCATGTTATTTGTCCATGTTCTCAGCTCTGCACTCCGGTCCGGTCCGTTTCACTGCACTCTGCTCTATTTGGACACGTGTCCTCCTCGAAAAAGCTACCGGTGGGGATCTTTTGGTGCATCAGCATAACCTTAATACTTTCTTCACAGACTCGAAGTGGAATATCACCGCTCACTTGAGGCCTGGTGCGAGCACAACCAGATTCCCGTAGATGAGGCCGACTTCCTCCTGGGCGCCGTCCTGCTGAAACCCGAGGACGACGGGACGACGGTTCAAACGGTTCAATATATCGCTTTTTGATAACAATCATTCGTCATTCGTCGTCGTAGTAGTCGTAGCCGCCCATGCGCACCCCCTCGGAGCCTGGTACGTTGTCTCGCTTTTCGTGTTTTTGAATGTGCCCCCAGCGACCCGCACCATGATTGCTTCCGTGTTACCAGTGCGTGCGAATGGCGAGAGCATCTATGCCCGCGAAGACTGTGAACATGAGACCTATCTTTTGGCATATTTTGGCCTAAACCCCTTAACCCCGAATGCACAAACCTTGCACCCAAACCCTGTCTTGCTTGACGCTAAACACAACGGGCATGTTTCTTGAGTTTCTTGTACGCACGGAGTTTGGGCTGGGAAGGCTTTGCCCTAGGCCCTAACATGGCCCTGACATCGGGCACGTCATGCTTTCGTCACTTAAACGCGGCAGTAAATCCCGAATAGCCTGCGGGGTTGACAAAGCACAGGCAGCCAGGCGCCCTGGGGCGTGCCAGCCCACTAGCAGAAGTCGTAGGAGTAGGAGTCGCAGCGGCGTCGGCGGTGGCAGGTGGTGGTTGCGGCGGCGGGAGCGGTGGTGATGGCTTAAGAATACAGCACGGAGGGAAACACGGCTAGGATAGTTGCTGCAAGCCATGCAGGACACGCTTAGCAGCTTGGGCTGTCTTGTTGATGATGAGATCGTTCTCAGAGCTGCCAGAGTCCTGGCGCCATCCTCAGCTGATTGCACCGGGTGGCGGGCATTGACTCAGGTTCCACGCGAACAGGGTGGCGAGGGTGGCGCAGCTGGCGAAACCATGCCAACCTCTGCGCCTGCCAACGTGGCGCCACCTCAGGCTCATGCCGACCGTGCTGCGTTGTTACTAGTTGTTACAGGGATAGGCCCGGATAGGAATCACACTTGTCCAACTTGTTGTGACCTGGATCCAGTTCGTGGGTTCGGTCGACCACATTCACAAAAACACCCGGATATCGGGCGTGCGTCCACACATGCAGTTTGCGAGGCGCGGTGTAGCACCCTCCCTGCGCATTGCGCCTTTGCATGCGGTGGGGAACGGGATAATCTTAACGCTACGCGACCCGCCTCGGCCTGGCCCAATGCAGCTCCCGGAGAGGGGGCCGACATTGGGGGGGAGGTTGGCGGGGGGAGGGGGGGCTGCAGCACCTCTCGAATACAAAAAAAGAAAAGGCCAGACAATGAGCGGTGAGGAAACCACTTTGACTTTGACCCATACCAACAACGCCACGCCCCGACGCAGAAGACGTAGAAGGAGGCGGGGGGGGGGGGGGGGGTTCACTGGAGTGGGGGTGGGGAGGTGGGTGGGTGGGGTCCCGATCGCCCATTCCAGGCAAAAAACGAGGGCCGGTATGTGGCTTTGGCAACCTAGACACCTTCGGCGCGAGGCCTCGCTGTTTATATGTTAAACACAGTTTACAGAAACGCAAAGAAAAGTTCAATGGCTTCGAGCTAGCAGACGTGGACGAAAATTCCTCTGCTGTTTTGGGACAGCGGAGGAATGAAGAAGGGACGGCTCTTGCCACACGTGCAGCACGGGACATTCAGAACGGGCTTCGGAACGGGTGTCTTGGCGCAGGCAAACGTGTCTCTTACTGTGTTTCCCTAGGGCCCTAGGAAGGCGGAGGGAGGATGAAAGGGAAGCACTCTAAAGCCCCAAGCTCACAAACCAAAAGATAGACTCTCAGCATGACAAAATTGATTCTTTGCAGGTGCCGCCTCGTGATCAAGCTGCCACGTCGCAGGAGGTCCGACCATGCCCCATTTGCAGCGTGTGGCTTGATGCAAGCTTGCCTTTAGCAGGTGTCGTCCGCAAAGGCCTGGCTAGCCTCCTGTGCGCCTTTTCCGCTTCGTGTTGCTGTGCAGTGAGACTGCGACATGAAGCACCAGGCCACCAAGGTGAAAAGATTAAAAAATTTGAAAATGAAATAGAACTTAAAAGAACATACACACGGCATCACACGGCAGAGGACCAGGCCACAGGAAAAGAAACTCAACCGAACAGCTGAGCCTGCTTTCATCACATAGTCATGTGAAACGGTGTACCAACACAGCGGTGAGACGGACCTTGTGGAGGAAGTTTGGAAATCCGATTCTTGGTGGGAGAGAAGGAAAGGAAGATAGTGAGTGTGGCAGTTGGAGGTGTAATAGACACCGCTCTTAAGACCGGGAGATGTGGTAGCCCGCAAGCAAGGCTGCGTTCCTTTGGTCATGCGGCACTGACAATCGGAAACGGTTTCTCACACGCTGGGCTCCATGGCACGTGCATCTTTGTTTATGCTCCGTGATGACACGTGGGTGTTATCATGGCTGCAAGCGTATCAACAGATTATCAACAGCTTAGTTCGGGTTGCAGCGTCGCGGGATAGCCAGCGGGGAAAGAAGATCTTGTTGAGCTTGACTCTAGCCCGACATTGTGAAATGACTTAGGAGGTGTAGCATAAGTGGGAGCTCCGGTGTTCTTGAAATACCGGTACTCTGAATGTCATTTACACGTATTCTTATCGTTGCCTCTTGTGCTTGATGCTTCTTCTTTGTGTCAAACTTGGTGTTGCGCAGGACGCTTTCCAAATCGTATTTGAAACAGGCAGCTGGTCCAGGTGCATGAGACGCCTCCTCAGATAGAGGGTGTCTGAGGTTTCGGCCTGGCTGGGTCGTTGCCAGCCAGATTCAATAGACACCGTGCACAGTAGAAACCAAGAGGCGGGTCCCTGCAAGGCAGGGCCACAACTCCATGACCGAACGGATCCGAGAGTTCATATATGAAAGTGTGTTTTTTTGTCTCAGACGTAGGATTCTGTAGGTACTCTTTTTGGTGCTTTCAATCAAACTCGAGGGAACGCCACAGCCCGGTGACTTTTGCCCGTTGCGGCGACTTAAGTTCGCACCTGGGAGAGAAGTATTGCAAGTTTCCACTGGTGTCTACAAACGCTTCCCTCTCCTTTTCACGGGCGCGCCAATGAGAGGGGGGACCTAAGCACAGTTGAGTTTTTTCCATGTGTCCTACAGAGAAGCTTTTGAGGTAGAGGAGGTTGAGGAGATTGCTTTGGTGGTGATGCTGTAGGATTTCATCGCAATGTTTTTCAGGGGAGTGCTACATTTCAAATTTCATACGGATCCAAACTAGACTAGACAAATTCCCTTTTCGATGAAGTCGGCTGGTACGCGGGATTCAACTTTGCACATAGACCAGAATGAAAACCCAACAAGCAAGTCTTCCGCACACCAAACCATGGCTGGGCATTGGAGGATGCAAGCAAAGCGACAATTGCAGAGACGAAATTATCGCTGTGCAGATTCTTTAGTAGGATGTCGGATGTGCAACCACCGACGACTGGGCGAGCACATGCGCAGGGCTGGGCAATGAGGCAGTTTTTCTGCTCATAGCATTTACAGTTAAGTTAGTCTTGGGCCGGCCCAAGCTTCTTGATGGCTTGTCAAAAAGAGCGAGGGAAAGGTGTCCCATTGCCCATCTCTCTGCTGTCGAACATCTTCGGATGGCGGCATTAGCGCCTGCTGCACAAGAGCAAGCGACGGGAGTGTGCGACCGCGGTGCAGGTGTCTGTGAAGGTCCAGGCCGAGGGTGCGGACGGCCTGAATGAGCTCTGCTTCAGTGTGCACTGCCGGCTTGTGCAGTGTTGTCGTGTGCGTCCTTTGGCAGAGGGGTTGGTAAGCCGGGCCAGGCGTGTGGCCACCCCGCTTGGCAAGATGATGAAGGCAGGCACACGAGCCCAGAAACACGAAATCCTTCGGGGCTGCGCCCTCTCTGCCAATGTCGGGTTAGATTTTGAGATGTTTTAAGTCTACCATGCTCCTCGGCTCCTCGCCTGGCCCTGCCCGGTCTCCTGGGCCTGGTCCCTGGAGTGCCCACTCGAAGATAAGCCCGCGGAGAATACTGGAGTGCCCAACTCAGAGATTTTTCCGGGGAAAGAGAAGTATCCGTAATTGCCTGTCCGAACACGGCAGGATGACTCCCATCTAGTAGCTGGTCGTCTCTTTCTTGTTCTCTTTCTCTCTCCCAGTGTGGACAGCTCTGTTCTTTCGGAAGGCGCAAGAAGTCCCTGATAATACGTTCCACGTATCACCGCCACTGTTACGCTCACTGTCGCGCACGATGGTGATCACAGCACTTCGTCCTAGAGTGCATGGTCGATGTGGCTGCTTGTCACTTAGCTCCGAAACGCTTAGGGCTGTGAGTTGCTTCCTGAGATGCAACCCAATAAGTGACTGTGTTGTAGGATGCTGTTCCCTGAGCAGACCGCGACTGCGCGGGTTGGCTCATGTGCTCAAAACACAACCTGACTGTCCTGCCCACAGACTGTTGTGATTGCTGAAGGCCACCGTGTACTGTTTCGATCCTGTCATTTTCAAGGAGGGTCTGAAGGGGGTCTCAAGGGGGTCCTAGCACGGTCCTGAGGCACGACGATTGGTCGAAAGATCTTGCTGCTTGTTCCAAACGCCTTTCGGTCAGAGGCCGAGGCGACCATTGTTAGTAATTGTAAACGCTTGCACACGCCGCCTCGGCAGCCGGGCCGAAAGAGGGTTTCGCAAGGGCAGAGGGGTTAAAGGGGGGGGGGGTGGGGGGGGGGGTGGGGTGGGGGGTGGGGGTGGGGGGTGGGGGGGGGGTGGGTGGTGGGGGGGGGGGGTGGGGGGTGGGGGGGGGGGGGGGGGGGGGGGGGGGGTGGGGGTGTTTTGAGGCACTCCCCCTGTAAAAAGCCACCGACACTCCACGACATCGGTTTGCAGCTCCTCCAGGCGATTGGGATTGGGGTCCCACAGGGCGGGGGGGGGGGGGGGTGGCGTCAGAAAATTCTGCTGGAAGGAAGGGTTGGGTTAGGGAAGGAGGCCCGATCCGGGTCTGCTTGTTCCAGACGCTTCTCGGCAGGAAGCCGAGGCGAATTATCATCCACATCATCATTATTTTCCAGTTCAATGCCTTAAGATCACTGTTTCTTGTATCCATGTTATTGTTTCTGGCATTCTCATATGGGAGACTGCTGACACTGCTGACACTGCTGAATGATGCCCTCGAACAAACAACATTGGTAGAGGTGTTCCAGACCATGCTTCCAAAGGATCACTTTCCCTGGCACAGGGGCACCCGAGGACCGAGGAAGCTCATTGCTTCACACGAGAAGCATCGAGAAGCCATCTAACCTTGGGCCCTTGGGATCTGAGGGATCTGACGCCTTTAAGACGGATGGCTCGTGCCTGTCATGCCTGGCACACCGTACACCACCGTACACTTGTGGTCGTTTGGTTTCATCGGTTTCACTGCTTTTGCCTCCTCGCCTTCTTTGCCTCCTTGCAACTCGAACTGTCTTCATCACGACACGGCTTCGCCTGAGATTTGTCCATCCCATCCAGACACTGAATACTGAAAGTCGCAGCGAGTATCATTCCGGTCCGACCACTTTCCAGAGCCATCCGCTCCATCCAGCCTTTTCTCTGCAGAGGCCTGGTGTGACCACCACCAGGTCCCGTCGGATGAGGCCGCCTTCTTGCTTGACGAGAGACTGCTGAATGCCGAGGACTGCGGGATGGGATGTGCGTAGCCGCCGTCGCCGGGCCGTAGCCTGTCCAAGATGCGAGTTGGCCATTCCATGAAAGGATACGCTCGAGAGTCTGGGATGCGGGACGGATGGAGTGGTCTTCCGTGCAGTCGTCGCCTCAGCCTGCTCAGCTCCAAGGGGCCCTAAAGTGGAACACCAAAAGCAGCCCTCAGGTGCCACATGACCAGGTGGAGGAGCTCATGGGAGCCCAGGCACCCAAGAAGGCTCCGAAGCGAGGCCGGACTCCAGTAGCATCAGTAGCATCAGCAGCGAGCACCAGCAGCGAGCACCAGCTGCAGCTCCGGAAGGCCCCCAGGCCAAAGCAAAGCCCAAGGCCAAGGCGAAGACCAAAGCCGCGCCCAAAGGCGCGAGGTCTTGGGTCCTGGCAGTCACTGCTGCGAGCACTTGGCTCCTCCAGTTGCAGGGAAGGGCAAGCCCGGCAAGCCCGTGCACGAGGCTTTGGGGATTTCAACCAGGCCACACTTTGTTTGTAAGTCTTCAAGGCAGGTGATGCAAACACCACCAACAGCGAGGCGGTGGCTTGCATGTGACGGGCCACGTCGCAGGGCATACAGTGGCACGAAGCCTAGGGTTAGATGGCACGCAGGCCGCGATTGCCGAAGAGCCTGCGACTCAGAAATGCTTGTAAGCTTCCCTTGCCAAAGCCTCTGCTCCGAGGAAGGTCTGCCTCCGGGTTGAAGCTGAAGGGGCGGACGGCATCAACGAGCTGCGCTTCAACCTGTCACCCCAGCTGTCGATGGGGCCTCGCCCGCTCTCAGCTCTAGTGAGTGCCAGGCGGCAGTCGACACCCTTAGCGAAGATGATGGCGGCCTGGTGCCAGCATCACCAGCTGCCCCAAGAGGAGGTGGCCTTTCTCTTGGGGGAGAGAGTGCTGCGGGCGGAGGACCGGGACCTCAGATCAAAGACGGGGTGGCCATGAGTGGCCAGTAGTGAGACGTGTAGGACACTCTCCTGAGCTTGGGCTGCAAAGCTGACGCAGTGGTGAAAGCTGCGGGGTGCCCTATTGGCCGCTCAGACTCAGACTTTGTTTTTGGTGAAGACACAGCTGCGCCTTAGGTTCCTCGCGATCAGGCACCGCAAGCTCCAGAGGCCGCCACAGCAGAGCCTGCAGCTGTTGCCACGGCTCTCCCGGCGGCATCAGCAGCAGCTGCACCAGCTGCTGTCCCTAATGGTGCAGAAGCGGAAGTATCAGCAGCTGCCGCGTCACCAGAGGCCCCCCACCTGCTGGTATGGTTTGCGCACGACGGTGTTGCACGTGGCTGTGGGATTTCAACCAGTCCACACGAGGCAGGTGATGCAAACACCACTGTCGCCGTCGGCAACAGCGAGGCGGTGGCTTGCATGTGACGGGCCACGTCGCAGGGCATACAGTGGCACGAAGCCTAGGGTTAGATGGCACGCAGGCCGCGATTGCCGAAGAGCCTGCGACTCAGAAATGCTTGTAAGCTTCCCTTGCCAAAGCCTCTGCTCCGAGGAAGGTCTGCCTCCGGGTTGAAGCTGAAGGGGCGGACGGCATCAACGAGCTGCGCTTCAACCTGTCACCCCAGCTGTCGATGGGGCCTCGCCCGCTCTCAGCTCTAGTGAGTGCCAGGCGGCAGTCGACACCCTTAGCGAAGATGATGGCGGCCTGGTGCCAGCATCACCAGCTGCCCCAAGAGGAGGTGGCCTTTCTCTTGGGGGAGAGAGTGCTGCGGGCGGAGGACCGGGACCTCAGATCAAAGACGGGGTGGCCATGAGTGGCCAGTAGTGAGACGTGTAGGACACTCTCCTGAGCTTGGGCTGCAAAGCTGACGCAGTGGTGAAAGCTGCGGGGTGCCCTATTGGCCGCTCAGACTCAGACTTTGTTTTTGGTGAAGACACAGCTGCGCCTTAGGTTCCTCGCGATCAGGCACCGCAAGCTCCAGAGGCCGCCACAGCAGAGCCTGCAGCTGTTGCCACGGCTCTCCCGGCGGCATCAGCAGCAGCTGCACCAGCTGCTGTCCCTAATGGTGCAGAAGCGGAAGTATCAGCAGCTGCCGCGTCACCAGAGGCCCCCCACCTGCTGGTATGGTTTGCGCACGACGGTGTTGCACGTGGCTGTGGGATTTCAACCAGTCCACACGAGGCAGGTGATGCAAACACCACTGTCGCCGTCGGCAACAGCGAGGCGGTGGCTTGCATGTGACGGGCCACGTCGCAGGGCATACAGTGGCACGAAGCCTAGGGTTAGATGGCACGCAGGCCGCGATTGCCGAAGAGCCTGCGACTCAGAAATGCTTGTAAGCTTCCCTTGCCAAAGCCTCTGCTCCGAGGAAGGTCTGCCTCCGGGTTGAAGCTGAAGGGGCGGACGGCATCAACGAGCTGCGCTTCAACCTGTCACCCCAGCTGTCGATGGGGCCTCGCCCGCTCTCAGCTCTAGTGAGTGCCAGGCGGCAGTCGACACCCTTAGCGAAGATGATGGCGGCCTGGTGCCAGCATCACCAGCTGCCCCAAGAGGAGGTGGCCTTTCTCTTGGGGGAGAGAGTGCTGCGGGCGGAGGACCGGGACCTCAGATCAAAGACGGGGTGGCCATGAGTGGCCAGTAGTGAGACGTGTAGGACACTCTCCTGAGCTTGGGCTGCAAAGCTGACGCAGTGGTGAAAGCTGCGGGGTGCCCTATTGGCCGCTCAGACTCAGACTTTGTTTTTGGTGAAGACACAGCTGCGCCTTAGGTTCCTCGCGATCAGGCACCGCAAGCTCCAGAGGCCGCCACAGCAGAGCCTGCAGCTGTTGCCACGGCTCTCCCGGCGGCATCAGCAGCAGCTGCACCAGCTGCTGTCCCTAATGGTGCAGAAGCGGAAGTATCAGCAGCTGCCGCGTCACCAGAGGCCCCCAAGCTGCTGGCATGAACTTGTTTTGTGCACGACGGCGTTGGCAGGCGTCTGCGAAGGCCGCGGGACCCGATGTGTGTTCAAATGTTCAGTTTCGACAGGACGTATGCTGCATTTTTCTGTTCCCATGAGTACTTGCAATCACAGACCGCGGACGGGGGGGCGCAAGCCCTCATGCCAAAAAGCAAAGAGGAAGGATGTCGGATGTGCAACCACCGACGACAGGGCGAGCACATGCGCACGGCTGGGCCATGGGGCAGCTTTTCTGCTCATAGCATTTACAGTTACAGTTAAGTTAGTCTTGGGCCGGCCCAAGCTTCTTGATGGCTTGTCAAAAAAAGCGAGGGAAAGGTGTCCCATTGCCCATCTCCCTGCTGTCGAACATCTTCGGATGGCGGCAGCGCCTGCTGCACAAGAGCAAGCGACGGGAGTGTGCGACCGCGGTGCAGGTGTCTGTGAAGGTCCAGGCCGAGGGTGCGGACGGCCTGAATGAGCTCTGCTTCAGTGTGCACTGCCGGCTCGTGCAGTGTTGTCGTGTGCGTCCTTTGGCAGAGGGGTTGGTAAGCCGGGCCAGGCGTGTGGCCACCCCGCTTGGCAAGATGATGAAGGCAGGCACACGAGCCCAGAAACACGAAATCCTTCGGGGCTGCGCCCTCTCTGCCAATGTCGGGTTAGATTTTGAGATGTTTTAAGTCTACCATGCTCCTCGGCTCCTCGCCTGGCCCTGCCCGGTCTCCTGGGCCTGGTCCCTGGAGTGCCCACTCGAAGATAAGCCCGCGGAGAATACTGGAGTGCCCAACTCAGAGATTTTTCCGCGGAAAGAGAAGTATCGGTAATTGCCTGTCCGAACACGGCAGGATGTCTCCCATCTAGTAGCTGGTCGTCTCTTTCTTGTTCTCTTCCTCTCTCCCAGTGTGGACAGCTCTGTTCTTTCGGAAGGCGCAAGAAGTCCCTGATAATGCGTTCCACGTATCACCGCCACTGTTACGCTCACTGTCGCGCACGATGGTGATCACAGCACTTCGTCTTAGAGTGCATGGTCGATGTGGCTGCTTGTCACTTAGCTCCGAAACGCTTAGGGCTGTGAGTTGCTTCCTGAGATGCAACCCAATAAGTGACTGTGTTGTAGGATGCTGTTCCCTGAGCAGACCGCGACTGCGCGGTTTGGCTCATGTGCTCAAATCACAACCTGACTGTCCTGCCCACAGACTGTTGTGATTGCTGAAGGCCACCGTGTACTGTTTCGATCCTGTCATTTTCAAGGAGGGTCTGCAGGGGGTCTCAAGGGGGTCCTAGCACGGTCCTGAGGCACGACGATTGGTCGAAAGATCTTGCTGCTTGTTCCAAACGCCTTTCGGTCAGAGGCCGAGGCGACCATTGTTAGTAATTATCATCCACATCATCATTATTTTCCAGTTCAATGCCTTAAGATCACTGTTTCTTGTATCCATGTTATTGTTTCTGGCATTCTCATATGGGAGACTGCTGACACTGCTGACACTGCTGAATGATGCCCTCGAACAAACAACATTGGTAGAGGTGTTCCAGACCATGCTTCCAAAGGATCACTTTCCCTGGCACAGGGGCACCCGAGGACCGAGGAAGCTCATTGCTTCACACGAGAAGCATCGAGAAGCCATCTAACCTTGGGCCCTTGGGATCTGAGGGATCTGACGCCTTTAAGACGGATGGCTCGTGCCTGTCATGCCTGGCACACCGTACACCACCGTACACTTGTGGTCGTTTGGTTTCATCGGTTTCACTGCTTTTGCCTCCTCGCCTTCTTTGCCTCCTTGCAACTCGAACTGTCTTCATCACGACACGGCTTCGCCTGAGATTTGTCCATCCCATCCAGACACTGAATACTGAAAGTCGCAGCGAGTATCATTCCGGTCCGACCACTTTCCAGAGCCATCCGCTCCATCCAGCCTTTTCTCTGCAGAGGCCTGGTGTGACCACCACCAGGTCCCGTCGGATGAGGCCGCCTTCTTGCTTGACGAGAGACTGCTGAATGCCGAGGACTGCGGGATGGGATGTGCGTAGCCGCCGTCGCCGGGCCGTAGCCTGTCCAAGATGCGAGTTGGCCATTCCATGAAAGGATACGCTCGAGAGTCTGGGATGCGGGACGGATGGAGTGGTCTTCCGTGCAGTCGTCGCCTCAGCCTGCTCAGCTCCAAGGGGCCCTAAAGTGGAACACCAAAAGCAGCCCTCAGGTGCCACATGACCAGGTGGAGGAGCTCATGGGAGCCCAGGCACCCAAGAAGGCTCCGAAGCGAGGCCGGACTCCAGTAGCATCAGTAGCATCAGCAGCGAGCACCAGCAGCGAGCACCAGCTGCAGCTCCGGAAGGCCCCCAGGCCAAAGCAAAGCCCAAGGCCAAGGCGAAGACCAAAGCCGCGCCCAAAGGCGCGAGGTCTTGGCTCCGAACTGCGCGCCTCCTGTGCAATCGCTGCTGTGCAGGTACAAGGAAGAGACGACGGGCGGACGAGGAGGTGGTGGAAGTAGAAGTACTTCTGGTCATGAGTACACAAGTAGTACACAAGTAGTACGCATTTAGTTAAGAGCTCGTTCAGCCTTGGCATGGGCCCTGGACCCCTTGGAGCCAGGACTCGGTGGAGAGAACCCCGTGCACTGAGAGCCCAGAGGCCTCTTCCATCCTTCCCGGATTTTCCCGGAAGGCATATGCCAAGTTTGCCCTGCTGCAGGCTGCAAAGGCTGCAAACGTCCGCAGAAGCCAGAGGCTGCAAGAGTCGCCCGTGCAGGTCGGCAGGGCAGATCGCCTTCACCTCCTGAAATTCGCTATTGGGCCAGAGGTGTCCTCCACGACGCTCGTCCAATACCCTCCCGAAGTGCAGCGGCCGAAGTCACGACAGGCTTGGTGTTCTCATGATTCTCATGTTGTGCTCGTGTTGAATCGGACGGATGTGGACAAAAATCATGCCGAGAGTTTGAAAGCCAGGGGCTGCCTGCGGCAGAGTTGGCGCAGAGCGCTCGGCAACGTGGCCACGCCATGAAAGGTCGAATGCATGTCACGCCAAGGAACCGCATGAGCTTCCGCGAGTATCTGGCCTATGACCGCGAGCAGGCACTGCTCTCGACGATGCAAGTTGGGGGGGAAGAGTCTACGCGGCCAAAACTGCTTGGTCCAGTCTTTTGCACTGATTCAGCTTATCTGTTGCAAGTGATCAGCCAAGACACGGTGACTTGGATAGACAGCATTGTCCATGAAACGGCTGCTTACTTGCGATTCTCTGTAATCAAGACGAAGTGATGCAACAAAATCTCACGGAGTCTCGGGCTCGCCGCGATGCTAGGTTGGCGCCGCTAGCGTCACGCTGCCTAGTTCTGAAGTGTTTTCTTTGTACAAGGTGTAGTGAAGCAGGCCGTTCCAACAGCCAAACGTAAAAGGAGTCAAACGTATATCGACGTCAGCTCCGAAGAGTGAAGACGCAGAAGGCGCTGTTGTACTTCAACATCTGCACCTCTTCGTGCTTGGCAGCCATATGCTGTCCTTTCCAAAATGGTGCGGCGTGCGAGAACCGCAAGACAAGTAGCAAAAGTCTGAGGAAAAAGCAGAAAAGTCTCTCTTGATTGTGCCTCGAAGTTTCGGAAATTTCCGGCAGCAATTATATTACCATTCAGACATGTATGTGAAGGAAGTAATTTACCAAGCGAGCAAAGTTGGAGAAACATGGCCCCTACAACAGCCCTTCAGTGAAGAATCCAGCGTTAACGGGGCTCATTTGCGAGAATATTTCACTTCCGTGCTTATTCTGCCTGATCCTCAAATTGCCAACATCCCCTGAAGCAACATATTTCTTCAAACCGATCATCGTAGGATCCCGATAAAGAGCATCCCTGAATTGGGCATCGGAGTCTCTGCGTGCGGACGGGCTGAAACTTCATGGTCGTTGTGGCCAGAGCCCCGCCCGAATGAAGGTGGCATGTGCACACAAAGGAGTTCAAACGCGAAGTGGCCCTGTAGTAGGGCATCAGCTGTGGCACTCTCTGCGAGCCTTCAAAGGCACAAGGCAAGAGAAGAAAATCTTCAACTTTGATGTGTCGATGCCGCTGCCATTGGTCAGGAGCGGCAGAGGAACCAGGCTCGGCTTAATCGCCAGAAAAGGAAGCTCGTGAACGGGGAAAGTTCAGACGAGGACAGGCGATCTTCCATGAGCTCGCTTCAAGTCGGCTCCGGTTGCAAAAGCGGTTCGGTTCAGTTCGATGTTTTGTGTAGCAACTTTCGATTCGGTTGGTTGTTTGTGTTGTGGCCTCCAGTTCGGTTTGCTTATGTTTGCTTGTTTCGGTTGTTTCTGTAGTATAACCTCTTGTTCTTGTTGTTCTTCTTGTTCTTGTTGTGGCTATGGTTCTGGAGTTCTGGTTTTTGGTTCTGTTTCTTGTGGTTGTTCTTGTGGTAGTTCTTCTTCTTCTTGTTATTGCTTGGGCCTGGGGCCTTCTGGGGTTCCGGGGCTTGGGAGGACTTTGCTGTGGCTTCCTGGGCAGGAGATGTGTGGGGGGTGGGGGGTGGGGGTCTGGGAGTGGGGCAGCTTCATGCAGATGGTGTTGTCCGATGCCTGGAAAATCACGGTTGGAACTCGGTTCGCGTGCGTTTAACTGGTTTCGGTCAGGGCCTTTTTGTTGTTTTTGTGTTTTGTCTTGTTTGTTCCCGGTTCGGTCGGTTCGATTTGTTACCAAGTAGTTTTTCATTTGTTTCGGATGTGCGGTTTCGGCTCGCGCGGTTCGAGGCCTTCATGTTGTTTTTCGAAGCAGTTCTACCTGGAGGAGATGCAGCTGGCTCTCGCTCTTTCCTTGTCCGAGAGCCAAGAAACTCCTCAGGCGGGGTGGCAGCCTCGCGAGAAGCATCTTGCCTCTTGCGCCTGTTAGGACGCAAGCTGAGAATGCTGAAGCTCAAGACTGATTCTGGTCGCGGCTTTTTCATATCAGGTGTACAGAGTGCAGCAGGGCATCACCAGAGGAAAGTGTACAGGTGCAGCTAAGTGCAGCGGAGCGCAGTGCGGATTGTGCAGCTATCCACACCTATCCGCGATTATCCACCTCCAATGGTTCCAGGCGTCCGGGAAAGCTGGATGCCTGACCCTGGAGACACACGAACGGCTTAGGGGTGCGAAGCAGCGCCAGCCTGGCAAATGCGCAGGACACTCTTTGGCAGCATCACCCTTAGCGACTAGCGACCGCTGTGACGTGAAAGATGGCCATCTGCAAGGCCCCATGTTGATGCCATTTGATGCCACAATCCTTTGAGAGGTTGCTGTGCATGTTGAGTTCTGCATTCTTGAGCGCCAACGACAAATCGCATCCGGCACTGCGTTGCTTGTTTGGAGCAGGGACACACCAAAGACGTTCAAAGTTTAGTTTATGTTCAAGTGTTTGGAAGGGTCCGAAGGGATAACCCTACTAACAGGGCGCCCTAGGCTCTCAACCCAGTTACTACTAATATAATTTTTGAATTTTAGTTTTGCTGTGCGTCTCAGAAATAATGTTTGTGTTTTTCATTCAACAGATTCAACAGTTTGGAAAACAATGAAGTTTTGAAACGGATAAGAGAATCTTTTTGCCTATGCCCCCACCCGGCCCGCCCCACCCACCAAGATCTGAGATCTGCTGGAGATGTTTCGGTCAGCGTAATCAACCAGCACCCAATGTGTGCCCTAAACGCCCAAGGAGTTAACAATGCTTGAAAATGCCCCTGTGACCAAATAGCTCGCGCCAGCGACCAAATAGCTCGCGCCAAAAACCTGAGCCCTCTTTCAAATCGACCTGCTAACACTTGAACATGCCCCTCTGACCAAATAGCTTGCGCCGACAACCCCATCATGCACATCAGGCCGGTGACCAAATCTAGGGGGGCGCGGGGCACACACAGCGTAAGCAACTAGCACCCCACCTGTGCCCCCCCCCGACCCGAACTGTTGATGCTTGAATATCCCTCTTTTGCGGCCAAAATAGCTCGCGCTAGGACTGCAGGAGAAGCTGCAGGAGCAGGAGATGCTTGCCCTCTTTTAAGGATCCAAAACAGGCTGCTGCAGCTCTGACCAAATAGCTCACGCCGGGAAAATCACGTTACCGGCACAGGTTCTTGGGCGGTTTTTGACTAAAGAATAAGAGGGTTCACGAAGGGATAAACATCTCGATGTACTTGAACCACCCTCTTGTTGTGCGAAAAGCCCATGTCAACAAATGTCCATGCCATAGCTTGCTCCTGCGGACGTCCCCTTCTGGTCTGGAGTAGAGTATGTACAGACACCACAAAAAGGACTCAAATGTTTCGGTCAGCGGTTTTTAACCAGCACCCCATGTGCGCCTTGAAGGGCCAGATGTTTCGGTCAGCGTAAGCAACTACCCCATCTGCGCCCTAAATGCCCCAGCATGCGAGATTCAAAACAATTTTCTTGAACCCGGAACATAAATTACTAATGCGCCAGCGACCACATAGCTCGCGCAAAAACCAGAGCACCATCGTTTAAATCGACCTGTTAACGCTTGAACATGCCCCTCTGACCAAATAGCTTGTGCCAACAACCCCATCACAAATAGCTCGCGGCTCGCGCCGTCAGACGCCAAGAACCTGTGTGCTTGCCCGTGGTTTAAGCGAGTTGAGATGTTTATGTCTTTGTGGGAAGAGCTCCTGTGGTGTTTCGAACAACCTTTATAACCGTTTTGGAGTTGCCAACTCTGCTTGCTCTGCGAAAAGGTTCTATCTGCGCAAAAACATCCCATATTTTTCCTAACGGTTTAACTTCGAACACTGTAGAAGTAAAAACATATCCCTTAGAGGTTTGTCGTATGTCCCCTCCCTTCGTGTCGTCGGGTTTGGTGAGGGACATGGAAGTGTGTCGCATGTCCCCTCCCTTCGTGCTCGGAGGGTGAGGACCCCGAAAATCTGGCCTGAAAGTCCGAGAATCATAACGTGCTTGAAGGGCCCAGCGTGCGAGGTTTAAAGGTTTCAGAGAAGTTTCTTGGGGGTTGGTCCTTGTGTGTGCGTGTTCAACTAGCATCCTGCTTTTTGGGGGACCGCGCATACCCACACCCGTGGGAGTTTTGGGGACCGAGCGTGTTCAGCTAGCATCCTTCTTTTTGGGCAGCGAGCGTACTCAAATGGCACCCAAATCTTGGGGACCGCACTTTCAGAACACTGTAGAAGCAAAAACATATCCCGTAGAGGTCTGTCATATGTCCCCTCCTTTTGTGCTCGTAAGGGTTCGGTGAACGCCCTAGAAGTTTGTCGCATGTCCCGTCCCTTCGAGCTCGTAGGGTGACATCGTAAGCAAGTGGAGTCCGGGGCGTCCCGTTTCAGCTATACAACATTAGTTTGAAGCGGGACGCCCCGGACTCCACACTTTACATCCCCTGAACCCATGGACCCTTGGAACCCATGGATCGCTAGGATGGTCGCTCGTGCCGCGAGCTACTTGGTCAGAACCCTTCAATTTAAACATATTTAAACGGCATCAAGAACGTTTTGATTTTAGGCTTTTTGGTGTGAGCTATTTGAAACCCGGACATTTTTGACACGGTCTGCTCGCACAAAAAGAGGGTGGCTTTAGTCTGGCGGGAACGGGTCACCGTCCGCTTCTGATGCCGGTCGGCGAAAAAAATCACCCAAGAAAGGAGGGAGAAATGATTCAAGGTGCGCGCGCTTTGTGCAGACACCTACGCCGTTACGCCCCCTTTTGCTGGTGTTTTGGATGTAGAGCATGGGAAGCAGCACGATTTGTTGCCGCTTGTTGGCCGTTGTGCAGGCTAACAAGTACGACGTACGAAGTGTTGTCGCTGTTGTATTGGATGTCGACGTGGTGCCGGGAACAGCCAAAAGGTCATTAGAAGGTTTGGTCCAGTGCAGAATTCCAGATTCCCAAGCACAGAAAGGAGCACTGCCGGAAGACCGCTTGATGACAGCTGGCACGCTAAGACGATCCCAGGGCTAGGGAGCGGGTGTATCGTGAAACGACCTCACAACCATGGTGCGTACCTTGCCGCAGAACGCAAGTCACATTCGCACGCTTCAGTATGGCATGACTTTGAAGTTCGGCTTCCAGGCTTGCATCATCTTGGCACAGTATACATACCTACATATTATACTTGGACATAGAACATCTGTGATTGAAGACATCGTAGTGGTCGTAGTGACCCCCGTGCAAGTGACAAACTCTGCGTGCCTCGTTGCCTCACCTTCTCGGCTGACAAGCTGTCGTCGCGCGCTCAGCTCAGCTCAACTTGTCAGAAAGGAAATGCAAAACGACATGATTAGAATCATGCTCGCGCTGGCGCTTTCCCGCTCTAGGGACCCCCTCTCTAGTGCCGTTTGTACTGCCGAAAACGTTCTCGAGAGCAGCAACAACGCGAGGCCACGTGCCTTTTCACCCCCAGCGCCGCACCACGGCCCAACACCCTAAAATTCGAGCAGGATTGAAGGAGCTGGACCCCACCAAGTCCTGAGCCGATCCCATCTGCAAAGAGCTTTTACTGGATCCAGGAACACCCTACGCCCAAAACAGCCCTAAGATGCATAGCACCTTGATCTCTCACACCCTGCGCAGGCCATGGACGTGCAAGCGAAGGCAGCGGGGCCGGGGGGGGGGGGGGGGGGGGGGGCGTGCTGTTTTAGTTGGCCCGACAAGGTGCTTCTGAGTGTTGATTTCAACGGGTGGTGTATGTGGCGGTTCTCTCTGCGTTCTCTTTGTACTTCCTGGGAGTGCTCTAAGCTTGAGTTGTGAAGGCCTCAACTGCGGGGCAGTTCGGCGATGCCTGCCAGGTCTGGCAAATCGAATGAGTGTGTGTACATTTATACTCATGCATGTCATGCCTTCAAAGACACGACCTTCATGGAAAGCTGCACACCGAAGGCTTTGAAAGAAGATCTCCTGCAGGCGCGTTACTTCTTTGGGTGTTTGTTCTTTTGCCCCTTCTTGTCTTGCGAGGAGTGGCAAGCCTTCCGCGCAGAAGTGCTTGGCGAGGTCATGCAGCTGATCCAGGGGCTGGAGCCGCCTGCCATCGTGCGTGCTCCCCGAACCAATGATGTATGTCTTCTGGGTTGCTGTTAAGAACTTAGCTGAGACGTAGCTCAAGTTAGGATATGAACATACGGAAGGCAATATGCTTTCTTTAGAAATGATAACTCGACTTAGCTTTCTTAGCTACAACCCAATCGTTTCGACGCGCGAGCGCCAGGAGGGCAAGGCTCGTTCGAACCGTCCTGGCCTGAGGGATCTTCTGGTTCACCCTGGAGACTTTCGGAGAACTGGAAGTTTGGACCGTTGCCATGACGAATCAGGCCCTGAGTGGGATAGCCTGGCAAGCCATGATGGGAAGGCTTCGCGACTACTGTACAGTTTTGTCTTGAAGCAGAGCTGCTTCCAGCTCGCACGCGCACCGGGCGTGCTCAAAGTGCTGTTAAGCGGATCAGACTCTAGTTTCAGGGCATCAGCCTGGCGGGTGCTGTTGCAAAGTTTCCTTTGCGCTGGCCTTAGTCTATTAGCCGTGAAATGTTGTGAACCAATGCACTTGTTCGCCAGCCGTGCAGCATTGCGCAGCCAGGCCGAAGCGCCAGCCTAACATCGCAGGCGTCGTGATCGCAGAGGTGCGCGACAGGCTGGCGTTTCGTGTTTTGCTGCTGTCAAGTTGTGCAGGAAATCGAAGTTGACACTCGTGGCGTCGCGTACGTATTTGACATTGAGCGCGAGTACGAGCAGATTGCCCCGGCCGAGGCAAGTGGCAAACACGTGCTGAGCATCCCCCCGTGCATGATCGTGCATGAGACGTTCATGCCAGACCCCACTCCACATTGGCAGGACTTCCCATGCACACCCCGAAGGCACAGCAAAGCACAGGAGTGCTTGTAAAGCCTGTCGATGGTTCTTGCGTGAACCCATCCATGCCAAGACAGGACGACCTCAAAACTCCTGAGAAGTTGGCCGCAGCCTTCACCGATTGCTGGACATGTCGCTTTCATTTGGCAGCATGGGTCTGGGCCAAGAGGCGAAACCTCCAAGAAGTGCAAGCCTGGTCTCTCTACTCAGCACAGTGCCCCGACGTATCCCGATGCGCAAGTCTGTCAACGCAGAGGCCGCAAGCTTCAGATTCAAAGAGGTCACGGCTTTCAGTTCCGCACCTGTCTCAGAGATGTTGGCTGCTCGCAGTCTGCCTTGCGCGGCAAGATTCAACTTAATCTTCAGCTTCCACTGTGCGAGTTGAGTGGGTCCAGGTCATGCTTGAAAATCCTGGCAGGTGCTGACAGGCGCAGAGGTTGAAGAGAAGACCTTTGCACCGACGAGTTGCGGGCCAACGTTGCCGAGTCCATTCGTTGCCGCCCTGCTGTTACGACTGAGGTCATGCAGAGAGGCAGCAGCGACGTCGGCGCCAGGTGGACAGATGCACCTTTCAGCATGTGCCTACCAGGCGTCGGCCGTGCATGTGACCAGGCCAGGCTTCACATGTACCAGATGGATGCTGACGATGACGAGGTGCGAACCCGAGCCCTCCAAAGGGTTCCTGAGCCTGGGCAACTGCCAACTGCTACAGTGTGCTGCAGGCATCGAATGCTGGTTCTTCGCTTGAAGACCAATTCGAAGCAAGCTGGGCCGAGGCTGAAGCCATGATGTTGCATCAGCGTCATCACGGATATGATGAGAAAAAGAAACAAAGATTTAATTGCAAAAGCTAGCGTGCGCCGCCTTGGCAGCCGGACCGGACCTCGTTCAGGAGGTTTTTACAGGAAGCTCCCAGAGGGAGCTCCGAATCGGAAGTCTGGGGGTCTCAGGGTCCAGGGGCTTCGCAGGGCGTTTCAGGGGGCTCGGCTGACAGGCGGGCTTGGGGCGGAGGGTCAGATCATACCAGATCCTGGTCTGCTTGTTCCTGAAGCCTCGCTGGAGGCCGAGGCCGCTGCCGTGATTGGCAAGCAGCATGCGGTGAACCTTGCCTGCAGTACTGTCATTCAGTGCTGGAAACTTGGTGCAATGCCCCAACTCGAGCAAGTCAGGAATGGAGACGACATTCAGGCTGGAATGCCATTCGTTCCTCCAGTAGAGGCAGGTGGCCTTTGAGACTTCAGCGCTTGGAGTGCTAATGAGCCCAAAGCAGGCTTCCCAAAGCTACACTTGATGTCGATTGGTTGAGTGCAGGCTTAGTGTAGGTCTTCTTTTCTGATTCAACAGTGGCTGTGGTTTCGAAGGCGATTGACGTTTCGACGGCGCTAGGTTTGCGCCCAAAATGTGAAACGCTTGAAAAACGAAAATCCCTCGCCCAGTTCAAGACTCACCGTTCGACTTGTCATTGACTCTCGTGATTTGAGGTCTTGAAGAGACACAGCCTGTGCGGGGTGTGCGCCAGGCGGAGAATGCATGCATGCTAGGGCCCCCATGTTATCTGTGCCAGCTGAAGGTTCGCGAGTACGAAGTGCTCGTGGAGGAGGCACTATCGAAAGGAGGAAGGCGCGCAGGAACAGCGATGCGTCGGTGTGAAGCATGCTCCTGCACCTGCTGTGGCTCGTGGGAGGCAGCTGTGCGTCGTTCTGCGGCATCTGTCGGGGTTGCCTGTGCTTGAGATGCTTCAGGCCACGCGCTGCGCATTGCAAGGCCAACTGCCTGAAATGTTCACGCAGCTGCGCAAGTACCCGAGGTGCACGACATCTTACGGCTTCATGCCGTGTCTGCGGCAGCTGTGGATCATCAGGTGACGATGCACCGACGTTTAACGAGCAAGCTGCACAGTCTTTGCATTTTGGGCAGGTGCTTGCGCATCACCTTGCGCAAAGTGCAGAGCTCTCGAGGCCACCAGTGAAGAGCATCAGTGTCTACTCCCAGCCGCCAGTGCAGGCCATCCTCACTGTTCGAAGTATGGGAAGCGCTTCAAGGGTCGCCAGTGGGTCTGCGACCTGCGCCGTTTGCAAATCGCGTTTCCTGGCCTCGTTGTCGGGACGAAATACTCGCTACCTTCGCGAACACTCCGTTGCTGCAGAAGCGCTACTGGTGTTGCTTGCCCGCAACAGCGCCGCCTCATTTCAATTGTTGCGTGACGACATGTTGCTGTGCTCCGAGGTTTCCAGTGGTGCATGGCCCAGACACGGACGAACCGGCGTCCGTGGAACAACTCTGCTCGCGAACATGCGTTGCTTGCAGTGGAGGGCCTGCGAAGCATTTTCTGCGAGTTATTCCAGGCTGATCACTCCACTATTGACTTTTTGGTGTTGCTGGCGCGCAACGGATGCGAGGAGGTCCGGCGCCTGGTCGCGCCTGTCGGCCCGGCACTGTTGCAGCACATGCTGTCCGAACGGGTCCTACATCCGGCGGTCACTTTGGAAGCTCGGGACATGGCAGCCGCTTGCCATCATGTCCTGGAGATCTCGGAAAGAAAAGCTTGGGTTGGACTGGCGGTGGATTTCTTTCTCCTCGCAGCAGATGAACAGGATGGAGATGCGATGGACTTTGCAGTTCACATGTTGGAGCTTTTATGCGGCGACATCACGCCGGCAGAAGCCCGAACCTGCTTCCACAGCGAAGTTCTCAAGATGGATGTTTTTGTGCAAGATCTAAAGACGGGCACGCGCCAAGCTCCACCAAGCAAGGTTCAGTGGTTCTTGCACTTGTATACTTGATGTGGGCGCATTTACGACATTGGATGCCGGCCCGGCTGCTCCAATTGGATGCAAGGGTGGTCGGACTCCACGAAGGATTGGTGCGTGATGTGCCTTGGACGCTTTTGTAGGTTCTGCTGCTCGGAAATTGTCCTCCTAATTCCAGTTGCTTGGATCTGCACGACAAGTTACAATGCATGGCTGCTTCATCCTTTAGGATCGAGCTGCGAAAGTTGCTGGCTTGTTTCCCCGGGATGGGCTCGCGTAGGATGCTATCGAGGGCACGGGTCGATTATGGTTGGAAGAGCTAGTCGCCGGATGGTGTGGTTGACGAAATATTAAATCCTGCCCAGGGCACAACAGAAGGTAGAGAAAGGTCGTCTCCATCTTCGGGTTAAGTAAAGGCACAGCAACTGACGATCACCAGCGTTTGCAAGGATCGCTTTTGAGGATCTAGCTGACTCTGAAACTTGAGAACCATGGCGTCAAAGCTACGGCTAAGCAGACCCCAGTGGTAGCAACGCTCAACACGCAGATGGGTGTCCCAGCGCTGCGCATCGAGCCGATCATGTGGGCCAGGGCCTCCCAAGTTTCGCAACATTTCGCAACATTCCACAATGTTCCACAATACTTCACAAAGCATACCTAGGCCTTGCAAGACAGTCGCACACTTTCGAGCACACGAGAGCCGAAACAGCTGGAAGAAGAGCGGCTCAAATCACCAAAGGCGCAAATTGACTCGCCAGCAGCTCGCCGCGAATGTGCGGTGCGCGTGGGCATGCTTCAATCTGAAGTGAATTCTTGCCCGCCTCGCGGTTTCTAATCGTTGCGCAGATGATGCCTCCCAGAGGCTTTACTTCAACAGCTGCAACTTCTGATTCTGTAGATGTAGCGCTGCAGGACGCTGATATTGATAACCTTCACACTTGTTCGGGACATCCTCAATCGTGTTGTGGGATGAGCCGGGGCCTTGAATGATCTTGAATGCTGGAGGGGAGGATGCCTTGTAGCCCGCCGATGTCTGGCTCTGAGGGCCTTGGATTGCTCAGGACCGGGACTTGAAAGATCCGGAAGGACGGTGGACCTCAGGAATGTCCCGTCATCACCATCGTCGCAATATGCAGCTCCGTGTGCAGGATGGCATGCGTGCGGATCCGAATCCTTGCACTGTGGGATTTGCACGCCTGGAGTGCCTTACAACTCTGAGCTCTGGGGGCGTCACAGTCTGGTTTGCCTGGGCCTGAGCACAGATCCATGCGAGGATTGGGGGCATCTGCCAGGGGTTGCTTGTGGGTCTGGTCCGGCTGAGTTTGGGAGCGCTACAGTTGTCCACTCTTGGGACGGCTGCGTTGAGGCTTTGTGTTGCCTCAGGCTTTTCTGGAGGAGCTGCTGCTCTGCTCTGGCGAAAGTGCAGCTGAGGCGCCATCAGCCCCAGCCCCCGCTGCCAGCTGTCAAAAACCTCAGCTTCAAGATTCTCGGATCATGGAGGGCTTGTGCCTGAGTTGGAGAAGCACATAGCGGCACATAACGCAGGTACGGCCGCACATTTTTCTCATCTGGAACGAGCTTTTCGCATGCTCAGGAGCTCTTGCGCATGGTCTCCTCGACGTATCGCTCCTCCTACACAAGGACTCCTCCGAGGCTTGAAGAGGGGGAGATATGGGGAGGTGTGCCGGTTTTTCCTTCGGCTTGATCACGCGCTGGAGAAAGCCAGAGGCCTCAGCGGCTGCCAGACTTCAGCTGAGAGGTGAGTTGAGCAATTTCCTTGGTTTTTGTTAGGGCTTTTGGGCCATTTTGTTTGTGGGGGCCACGTACCCTCTCTCTCTGTCTTTCTTTCTGTATTACTTTTCTTGCTTTGTTTCTCTCTCTCTCTCTCTCTGTGTCTCTCTCTCTGTCTCTCTCTCTCTCTCTCTCTCTTTCTCTCGCGTTCTTTCTCTCTCTCTCTCTCTTCCTCTGTCTCTCTCTCACTCTCTCTCTCACTCTCTCTCTCTCTCTCTCTCGTATCACTTCTTTTCCTCCGCATCACTGCACTTCAGCCTCAAGAAAGTCCTCACAATAACGTACCTTAATCGTATGATATGATGCATGCAAGCCACCTGTTCTCCAAGGTCACGGTTGCTTGTCACCGAAATGACCCAGCAGAAGTCGAGCCAAGAAAAAACAGAAAAAGCAAACAGTTCAACGGGCCAACCGGAATTTTCGTCAGTTGCCCTCGAAATTGCAGGTAAGAGGGGCATCTAGGTACTATGTTTCTCTCCATGGAGCTATCCATTGTAGCATTAGAGACTCTCAAATTCTTGTTTCGCCAAATCCGCAGCGCGTAGCGAATCTGACGTGTGGTCGGCAGGAACGAGTCCGGCTGATCCCTGTCCTCATCGAAATAAGGCGCCAAGCGTTCCAGCAACTCATGTTTTAGGCCAGTTCCAGAGCTGTTCAAACCAAAAAGCATCGCTCGGCTATTCAAATCAGCCTTGATCTTTTTCTGGCTGATAAGTTTAAACGCTACGCGACCCGCGCGGTGGCGAGGCGCTCTCGTCCAAGTGTCCAAGTGAACGTGGCGAAAGTGTGCCTGAAGTGTGAGCCCTGAAACCAACGAAATTCACGTGGACGCGGAATACATGCAGGATAGCGCCAGCAAGAAGAGAAAGTTCACAAGAGAAGCCAAGCAAAACAGAGGAAAGCGACGATGGGGGTTGTGCCTGAAGCTTGAGTGTTTTTTTTTACCTGGGGCAACACCGGAGTGGTGGGGGCAGCGGGGGGGGGTGGGGGTTGGGCGGGGGGGTGGGTGGGGAGGCGGATGTTAGACGCTTTTGTCATGCATCTGTGCTTTTTGTCAAGTCAATCCGCCGAGGCCTCGGGCCGAAGGTGTTTAGGTTGTCAGAACAGGCACCTTTCTCCAAATCCTTCCCCCAAAACCTTTGCTTTTTTTGGCACATCCAGGCAAAAAAAGAGGGGTTTTGGGGGGAGGATTTGGAGAAAGGTGCCCGTTCTGACAATCTGGACACCTTCGGCCCGAGGCCTCGGCGGATTGACTTTCAAAAGCACAGACGCATGAAATTAGCATGTGAAAATACAAACTAAAAGCACAATAGCAAAAATCAGGGAAACACCAAAACACAAATTGTTGGGTGTTCTTCTTTCTGTTTAAAGCCTTAAATCACTAAGCCAAACAATATGTTCTTGGCTCAATACTATGATGCAGGGGTTCCCATGGGATAACAAGTCAACAGCCTGATGATGATCACAGCACTCTGGGCAGGGCAGAGCAGGGGTTTGGAGTCAAACCACACGTAGTCTTCTTTTACACGACCCTTTGAATGGCCATAATGATGTTTTTGAAAGCCTTGCGGTTGAGAACCGGGACCTAGCCCTTGGAACTGACACTGTAAGCTGCGACACTTCCAGCTTGCAAAATTTGTTCTACATTGCAAGAGTCCGGATTCCCCAGTTCCAGAGGTTTCCAGAAGCCGAGCCGCCTCCAGGAGCCTCCTGGAGCCGGAGCTCTCGAAGTGACGAGATCTGCGCTGCCGAAGCCAAAAGCGTCCCAGAACTTCCCATGTGCTTCCAGCACTTCGAACTTCTCGACAATTCTCGCAATGTCCAGCAGATTTTGGTGGAGGACTAGGAACATCGCATCCTTTTGTATAGGCGGCTCGAGGACGCCTGAGCACTCAGACCCCGACCCGCCGAACTTCACTTCGCAGTTCTAGCGGATTCTAGCGGGGCGCCTGGGGTTTGGAGGGGTATTCGGTGTAGGGAGTCGCTTTAGTCCAGGCCAGGTGTGCTTCGGTTCGGGAGCGGTACGATCTGGGGTTTGTGAGGTTATAATTATAATTGTTTTCGACACAGTGCCCGACTCCCCGACGTGACTTGGTAGTGCTGCCATGGCACCAAAGAGCAGTGCGGACCGCTTGACTTGCAACTGCAACATCGCCTGTTGAAAATACCTCGCAGTTGCTTGGCTCGACTGCAGGTTTCTTGCTTGTAGGATCTCGATCCTCGCAGAGCTGGCACAGTAGAGCAGGGCACAAACCGCCCGTCACCTGTTGCGCTTCATCACACCATGGCCCAGGCACAGATACCGATATGAAAAGCCAGAGAGAGACACCGAGATGAAGACAGATACAGAGGAAGGAGACAGACAATTAAATCTGCCAATTACACTGTCAGACGAGACAACTTCTGGGAGGTGCGCGCTGGGCGCGGGGCCCAGCACATCACGCGCAAACTCATTCCCGAGAAAATTGGTGGAATCTGGGATCGTCAAATGTCTTGTTCGTACACGTCCTGACGTAAGAGTCAGCTATACCTTATTTGTAGGACACCGGCATGATCTGGATGTCCAATTGGGATACAAGGGATATTTCTCGCTAATGGACGGTTGTAGAACTCATGAACAGAAGACACAAGAAACCAAGCCATGAGAAGTAGATGCCTCGAAAAGCGGGTCTAGCGTCTAGAACTGTTGCGTGTGCACAGGTGAAAAGATGTGGCCTCTGCACATTCCCTCTGCCGAAGGAAATGGTCCCTTGGACAAATCTTGGTCAAGCTGCACTTTGTGAGCGCCGTTAGCCCGCGAGCAGATTTTTCCGGAAGCTTCTCTTGGTTCCAGTGGCTCTGCAAGGGATCTCAGTGTCATCTGGCAGCTCACGCTCCTACTGATGGCGGAACAAAACGACAAAGCAGGCTCCCGAAGACACCGATAGCTCGCAGCATGGGGAACGAGGAAATGCGGATCCCAAAGACCACTTCTTGGGTATGCCCACTACGAATCTACCACTTCTGGGTTCTGGGAACGCTCACGCCACGCAAAAGGGGACAGGCAGCTTCCGGAGATCGCTGCGCAGCGTGAGATGTCCAGGCGTCCAGGTGTAGGTGTATGTTGATGAAGAGGCAGAGAATAGTACCTGCCGGCATCTCGTAACATGGTCTTGGAATTACGACATGCATGCTCTGTGTGTTGTCTAACTATTGCGAAAAACATGCTGAGAAACTTCTCGCCACGCTTCTGGCAACTCGTGGGCCCGAACTTTTTGCACAACTTGTGGAGGCAGAACAGGGCCACAACTTGTGCAACGATTGTGCTGCGGCCCGAGTTATCCTAGTCGTCACCACCACTCAAAACACGACAGTTCTCACGATAATAATCAGGCCAAGACAGGTCACCCGGCGAATTTCCATCGCAGATCTCGTCTTCAAAGGCAAAGGAAGCGCTCATGGCTTGCGGTGTCTTTTGCAAATGGCGCGGGGAGGTCCACCCTTCCACCGGGGGCCGGACACGTTGGCGCCGCACAGGCGCGAGCCTGAGTCGTGTCACCCAGCATCTTGCTTCTTGCTTCACAAAACTGCTGCAGGAGCCGCCTCCCGATGTTTGCTTGGGCCTGCCTCTGAGCTTTGCCCCTGCAATTTTCCCAGGCTGTGCTTGGGGCCCGTAGCGTATGCAGAGCTGAGATCCGCCGCTGACCAGCGGCGTGCCTGCGCCAGCTCTTAGGCGGGAGCTCAGCAGGAAGGCCAGGCGAGCCTTTTCATGACTGCTGACATAACTGGCAATTCTTTTGGAATGTTCGCTTGGCTGTGCTTCGATATGCTTGGCTTCGATGTCCAGAGTGTTATACAGTAGACTTTAGACCCATGCACGTGCCCAACTGGCATGCACCACTCCCCGCTGCCGTTGAACCGGCCATGGCATGCCATGGCTATTGAGAAGCAAACGGCTTGCGCTTGGGAACTGGTAAGGCCAAGTGTTGCGCTTTGCGGCGGCGTCCGTTTTTCGCGGACGCACGGTGCCATGAACCTGCCAAAGCCTAAGAAAAGCAACAAGGGCCTCGCAGTTGCGCGCAGGCAGGGGAGCTGCTCTCGTGCTCAACATCCCCGTGCCGCAGGACCACGCAGTCGACTGAGCTGATGCTCATGATGCCTGACCCGTGGTCATTGGTGACACCCGCCGCCGCACACAGAAATACAAGGTTTTGGACAACATCGCCGGTGATTTTCAGACCGCCTTCCTTGCGCAAGCATGTTCAGTTCGCCGCAAGGATGCGTTTTTGATGCGCAGGGTTGAAAACAAAACCACGGTTTCTTCTTGGTGTAGAGCCTGGCAGCTGAGTGGACAACGAGGTGTGGCAACGAAACGTGCTTCAGCACATCCATTGGGTTCTGTGCGATGGGGAATGCATGTATGTTGGTAGCTGCAATGGCATTCCTGGACATGGTGTGCTGTTGTGGCAGGCAACGCGAGCTCCAAGTCAATCCATGCGGGTTCCTGCGCGGCAGATTGCGAAAACAAACAGTTTGGAAGCTGATGTGTGGTGGCACTAAGCAAGCAAAAAAATCGAGCCAAGGGAGATTTTCGGAGCCTCCCGACACTGGCCTGGAGCTCTGTTCATTCCAGATTTCAGGCCTTCGGCACCTGTTGTGGGTTCTGTGCGATGGGGAATGCATGCGTGCTGGTAGCTGCAACGCATTCCTGGACATGGTGTGCTGTTTTGGCAGGCAACGCGTGCCCCAAGACCATCCATGAAGGTTCCTGGTCCTGTGAAGCAGATGAGTGCGAGAGCAAGCAGTTTGCAAGTTGATGTGCGGTGGTGCTGAGCAAGCAAAAAAAAACAGCCAAGGGAGATTTTCGGAGCCTCCCGACATTGGGCTGGAGCTTTGTTCATTCCAGATTTGAGGCCTTCGGCGGCCTCTTTTGATTTTCTATTGTGCTGCAGTACTGAAGTCACTGGCGTTGTCTTGTCAGGTAGTTCGCGGAAGAGTGAGATCGCGCAACCGCTGCTTGCTGGCAGTTACTGTTTGTTCGCTCATTCGGGTCTGCCAGTCCAAGTTGCAGCACTCGCGTCCGAGTCTTGACTCGGATTTCTTTTGGCCAGCGCTCCCAATCGTGCTGACGATTCTGCCGCACGCCCCCCCCCCCCTTCCTCCCTCTGTGAAGGTAGCCGGCCTGATGTCTCGGAGCCACGAAGCTCCAGCACTTTCGTGAGCACCTCTGAGGAAGGCCGATGCTCATGATGCTCGATTTGGGGCGGGGGAGGGGAGCGTAAACAGGCCCAACTCTCCCGCTCTGGGCTTCACCCACTCTCCCCATTGGCTGGGTAGTGTATGGCCATTTTTGCACCCTGATTTGCCCCAGCTGCTTGTGAACGTGCGCGACTGCGACGCTGATGTTTGTTATCGCAATCAAGCATTCTCGCGTAAGGCCCCGCGTGCTGGCAGGCACGATTGTCTAGTTGAGCGCTCAGATGTGCACCCTGTGTGAATGTTGTGCACGGCCGTGTGTAAAGGTATTCACATTCAGATTGCCATGATTCTTACTGCGATGATTTTTCCTAGTTTTGTTATTGTTGCTATAGCTGCCTGTTTTGTTGATGTCGTTACTTGCGGTCATTTGCCTGCGAGGTGCGCTGTGTGAGTTGTGCTGCAGCCAACGAAGGCCTGGACCGACCATCAAAACAATGACAATCGGACAACACTTGGAGGAAAAGTGATAGTAGAAGCAGGGAAACCATTGTAACAAGATGAGTAGGCAGCAGTAGCAGTGATAGGAATTGCAGTCAAGTTGTAATGATCGCAAGCTCCTGCTTTTCCGAGATTTATCTGACCAGTTGCTGTCTCATTGTTTCATCATCTCTGTTTTTGTCTGGCCTAGCTTTCAATTGCCAAGGTTCGCTGGGCAACCGCGTTGAGTTCCGAAGGAGGGAGCTAGTTCTTGGGAACTACCATTTCATCCCGAATTCGCTACGCGGGTCGCCTACTGTGACTGTGGGGCCTTGCCAAAGGCGCGGAGTGCCCCCCAAACTTGCGCAGCAGTCCCCAGCAGAGGATTTGTGGACTGCACGCTTGACCTTGTGCTGTATGGCCTCTTTGGGAGCCCGGAGAAGGAGAAACCCCGGGCTCCATGCGGCCGCAAAGGTCCTATGCATGATGATTTTATTGCTGCAGTGGGGGAGTTAGATGTGGTGGGTTGCATGATGCAGCGCGCTCTTCCCAGAGAACTTCTGGTGCACTTTGCAGGCTGCAGCAGTTGGAGCGATTGGGTGCCTGGCTAGCTTTGCTTCGGGGCCTTGAAGGCAAGCTGATGAGGAGTATGCCGCGTTGCAGAAAAGGTTTCCATCGAGTCATGAGCGTCTCAGCGAACAATGATTTCTCTACACAGTAACAGGGCTGCCGCATGCCGATGGCATCGCGTCATGTCACATCATGTCCCATCATGTCGCTTGCACGACGTTTTTGGCCTGGAGCTGTCGGGTTTCGGTGTTTCGGGCTGCAAGTTCCTAAGCCCTTACAGCCCATGGATTTACAAAGAGATGCGCAGCTTCACACTGCCGGTCCTATCGCAAAGCATCGATAACAAAAACCCTTAAAATCCCTAAAACCCAAAAATCCCAAACCTGAAAACCCTAACATCCCTGCAGCAACGCACAACCCTGCCTTCAAAAACCTCGCCGCTAGATCAATCCCTAAACACCCGGGATTTGTAATAATAAACCCAGAGGTGGGTGGTGGGATCGGTGGGCGGCGGGACCCCGTCCGCGTCTGACAATATGTTATTACTGGACTTCTGCAAAGCGTGTTATTTGGGGCTGAGAGCCTAAAAGAGGGTGGTTGGTTGAAGTAAATTGAGATGTTCAGCCCCAAATAACACGCTTTGCAGGAATGCGGTAATATAATATTCTCAGACACGGACGGGACCCACCACCCACCTCTGGGTTTATCATTTTACATCCCAATGCGGGGGTGAAGTGGGTTCGCCACGCCTGCCAGGGTTTCGAATGGTTGGGATGGGTTTTGGGTGGATTTGGGGTGGGTTTCGGTGGGTTTTGCGTGGGTTTGAGTGGGTTTGGGTGGGTTTTGCGTGGGTTTAGAGGTGCATCTGGGAGAGTGTTTGGCTTGGAGAGCGGCGTGTTTGGCTTAGAGGTGCGTCTGGGCGGGTCTTGGAGGGGCGTGTTTGTCTTTTCCTCATATTAGGGCTAGAAGCCCTTGAAAGTTTGTTGAACACGCCCCTCCAAGACCCGCCCAGACGCACCTCTCAGCCAAACACGCCGCTCTCCAAGCCAAACACTTCCCTCCAAGACGCACCTCTAAGCCAGGGTGGTGGGTCCTGTCCGTGTCTGACAATATTGTATTACCGGATTCTTGCAAAGCATGTTATTTGGGGCTGAGCATCTCAATTTGCTTAAACCACGCTCTTTTAGGCTCTTGTAAGGCAGCACGATTTTAAGTACCTGCCCATTCCATTTGCTTATGGCACTTTCCCCATATTAGGGCTGGAAACTTTTGAAAGCGTGTTAAAACCCTTAGGCTCTTGTGAGGAAGCAGGATTTTAAACACCTGCCCATTCCACTTGCTTATGGCACCACCCTAAACGAGGGTGGCTTAAGCAAATTGAGATGTGCTTAGGGTTTAGGGTTTAGCACGCTTTCAAGGGTTTCCAGCCGTAATATGGGGAAAAGCCAAACACACCCTTCCAAGACCCGCCCAGACGCACCTCTAAGCCAAACCCGAGGGATTTTTAATCATAAACCCAGAGGTGGGTGGTGGGTCCCGTCCGTGTCTGACAATATTATATTGCCGGATTCCTGCAAAGCGTGTTATTTGCTACAACGTGAGACACTTCCCAGCACGAAGAACACAAAATGAAGCGCCCCGGGACCCCGGAGCTCGACATCTCGGCAGAACTTTTACGGCAAAACAACTAAAGAATGTTCTTTATCAGCCTGGTTCCACCCTTACCAACTGCTCATTGCATTCGGACGCCACACTGGCGCATAATCTGCATGTTGTGCACTGGAACGCAGGTGGACTGCTAAACCAAGAAATATGCTACGATGGGGAAAACAAAAGCAAGCCGAAACGTAACGGAACGTCGCCAGCCAAGAGCGGAACGTAGCCGGGAAAAGCCAAAACAGGCCGGAACGTAGACGGAATGTAATCTGGTTTTTGCATGTTTGCTCCAAGACGTAGGCGGAACGCCCCTCCACCCCCTCCAAGACCCTTCAAGACGCACCTCTCAGTCAAACGCCCCCATCTAAGACGCACCTCTAAGCCAAACACCCCTATCCTGGTCCTGGCTTTTCCCCATATTAGGGCTGGAAACCCTTGAAAGCGTTTTAGGTGCTTAAAATCCTGCTTCCTCACAAGAGCCCAAAAGAGGGTGGTTTAAGCAAGTTGAGATGTTCAGCCCCAAATAACACGCTTTGCAGGAATCCGGCAATATAATATTGTCAGACACGGGTGGGACCCACCACCCACCTCTGGGTTTATTGCGGGGGTGTCGCTTCACATTTTCCATGATGGCTCTATATGTTCAGTCTGCTCAAGCACCTCTGTTCGCGCATCCTCCCATTTAGCAGTTAGCAAGTTTTCCTCAATGGCCGCGGCCGCCTCAGGGATTCAGGTGTTGAGGGCTTATCAAGGTGACCATTGCTTGGTTGACGGTGCGTTGTCAACCAGAACACTGTCTTGTCTCCGAGGCTCCAGAAGTTTTGTTGGATTTGTTTTCGTATGCTTGCTAGGGGGATTTAACATTCAGGGTTTGGGATCCACTTAGACTTATCTTGCCACTTCGAGGTCATGGAGACCACCGTGGCACACCCCTTGAAGGCCGGTTCGGTGAAGTCGAAATCAAACGCCACGCTTGAGCTGATGCTGGGAAGTTGCAGCTGTAGCACTTCAACTTCAAGCCAGGAAGACAAAAAGAGGAACACAACGGCACGGGGAAGAGCTTTGGGCAACCCCCTCCCCGGCCCCACGGCCCCCACCACCACGGCTCAACAAAGACAAAGAGTTTCTGTCAGAAACTGTTGGTCATCACTTTTTGGGATCCCCTATGCACTTTCCATACACATTTATAGGTCTAAACGACCTGGACTGCGTGGGCTTTACGACTGGCAGGCGAAGGCGGGCTCTCACAACCGCCAGGTGGGTTTTTGATCTGACACCGGGCGCATGAGTGAACCCTTGGGAAGTTTAGGGTTTAGGGTTTTCCTCAATGAAAGCTCAAAGTTTTCTGGGTTGTTATGATCCCCTCCCTTTATGGGATTTTTAGGAGCCTTGCCAACAGATATGTTACTTCCAATACGCCTAAGCCCTACACCTACAGATAAAGAATTCGCCAGCGTCCATTCCTCCATGAATGGCCACTCCAGCTGTCTCTGGGGTTGGGCACTTCGGGGAGACCGGGCGAGGAGAATGGCTGAGCTTAAAAATCTTAAGAATCTCACGCCGAGGCTGGGGAATTAGGTTTTAGGGTTCTTAAGGTTTTGGGTTTCGGCCCAAATGGGGGGTTTTCGACCATTTTTGGGGAGCGGGCAGGCAATCCTATTGTTTGGAAGGTTTGGCCCTGTTTTCGGAAAGCCCCAAATAGATCCCTCTGACATAAAGCTACATGAAATAGTCATACAGTAGTCTTGCAATCTTTGACAGCCTTACAGCATTTCGGGGCCTCGTTGCGGAAAATAAGGGGCCTGGTGATGGACTGAGGCTGTTGTCAAGCGGGCTTGGAATTGGCGTCAAACTTTAGGTAGAGAAAACTACGCCCGGCAAACAGAGAGTCAGGAATATGTCTTAAGCAGGTTGGAGATTAAGAAATACACAAACCTGGCCAGGGTCGGAGAACTTTCTTAGTTGAGAGGAGGGTCCGCTTGCTTATAACCTCCTCTGAAAAACCCTCTGCAAGCCCTCTAAATCCCTCTTGCACAAAAAACTCTATACAAGCCCTGTAAAAACCCTCTAAAGACTCTCTACAGGCCTTCAAAAAGCACTCTACCCTCGAAACACCCTTTATCAGAATCATGTCATCCAGTACTGCATATCTTCGCGGTTCTTAACGTTCTCCTAATTGTAAACGCTTGCCCGCGCCGCCTCGGCAGCCGGGCCGGCCCCAGGGACAGGAGAGGAGGAAAGAGGGTTTGGGGGGGTGGTGGGGGTGGGGCGACCCGCCTCGGCCTGGCCCAATGCCGCTCTGGAGAGCTGGCCGACGGGGGGGAAGTGGTCAGCGCAAGGGCCAGATAAAGGGCTTGCAGTGACTCTAGCCCACAACACCGCCCCGGCTTGTAGCTGTTGGTGTGTGTGTGGGGGAAGGACGGGGGCGGGGGGGGGGCGGGTTCTTGGATTCTTCCCGAAAACCAATTCTGAAATTGGGTTCTCGTTTGGGCGTTCTATCGGATCGCTTTTTGCCGAAAGAGGCCACGAAGAGGAGATGGTCAACGGAGGAGGGTCGGACGGAATGAATTTTGACGGGAGGCCGCAGAGACGACACGGTCAAGGGAGGGGGTTCGGAACATTGCTGGGAGAGGGGCGTGGCGTGGGGAGGCGTGGACCATGCATGGAGTTGGACGGGTTCGGCGGGGGGAGCGCGGATGGGGAGCGTGACATTCGGTTGATGGCAGGGGATAGGGGACACGCGGACGCCCCTCCGCGCCCTAAGCGCCCCTGCGCGCCCTCCGTGCCCCTAAGCGCCTCCGCAACTTCTCTTCACGAAGTGTGTTGAGGGGCGGCTCCAGCGCAAGCCCGCACCCACCGCCCTCACGCTCTACCCTCTACCCCCTTCTCCCCTGCCTGTTTGGAGGGACTGCCCTCCCGTACCCCACCCCCCACCCTTCTCCCTGCGACAAAGTATTTCAGAGCGCCGCCACCGCCCCCACCGCTTTCACCTCTCACACACTCTCACCACCCTCACCTCCACCCCCCCTACCCGTTCTCCCTTGCCTGTTTGGAGCTGCCCTACCCACCCCTCACCCACCACCCCCCACCCCTTCTCACCTCCTACAAAGTGTTTTAAGGGGCTCCCGCGCATGCCCACCCTCACCGCTCTCGCACTACCTTCCCCTGCCTGTTTGCAGGGGCTGCCCTCCCAACCCCCTACCCCTACCCCTGTCCGCGCCCTCCGCGCCCTCCGCCCCCCCCAGGACACAGTGTGCTGATGCTAAGGGTGCATTGCGTCTATTCTGCGGGTGCGTTGCGTCTATTCTGCGGGCGTTTCCTTTGTAAAGGAATTGTGTTTACAAGGCACGCACGTGCAGCATAGCCTTTAAGTGTCCTTCTTACGGGGGGTGCTGCCCGTCCCGGCAAACCGTCCGCTTTCAGGTCCTGGGCAATAAATCGGAAAAAAAACTTGCAACAGAGTGGTGGAGCACCCCAAAACACACCCGCAACTAGCTCATGGTGTGCCCTATTCCCTCCGCACGCGCATTGCAGCCTAAACTTGTACTGCATCGGTTTCGTCATCATGCGCCCGGTGCAGGTGGACTTTCTGTTCACCTGCGGCAAGGGTGGCAAGGAGGACAGTCAGATTCGGGCAAACATAGTATTTAAGTGCAGCGGAGTACAGGTACACAACAGTATGGAAAAATGCAGCGGAGAGCGAAGTGCAACATAGAAAAGTCCCGTATTGTACCTTGCAGGGTCCAGCAGCACTGTTGGCAATGACACATTTCAGACAGGGTCCGCATCACCGTTCTCTTGCCCAATGCAAGACTGGGGCGACCTTCGTGCTGCCTCTCGTGGCGGGCACTCTAAGAGCGACGATTCCGACAGCTGCACTTGCACTGCCCTGTATGAGACGCCCGTAGTTTGTTGACGTCAGCGTTGAAAGCATGTGCACAAAGACTGACGTAAACCCCTAAACCCTAACCCCCGAGAGCCCGCCAGTAGCAGCTTCGACGCGAGGCTCTAGCGTGACAAGACAGGGCAGTACGAACTGCTGGCGCTGGGACATCCGAAACCCTGAATCCCTCGACCCATAAGCCATGCAGCTGCATTCTGGTACTGTACAGGATGTGGGTATCTACATCGATGGAGGTGTCGCCGTTCAGGCGAGAATTTTTCTGCAAGCATTTCGTTTTTGGGATGGGGCCTTGAAGAAGCGCTTGCAGACTCGCTCGGCGAGATGTGCCACGTGGCCCTGGTGGACCCCATGCAAGATGATCTTTCCCGATTTCCTAGAAGCCATCAACAAGATTTCAGTCAAACTCTGTATTGTACTTTGCAGAGGGGAAGATGACCCCGCTACCGCGGCCTCCACCTCTTCCGCTAATACTTGCCGTTACGACTACCTCTTTCGCTATGACTCCACCACCCACACCGCAACCGCCACCCCCAACAGCCATGGCGACCACAACGTAGTGCGATGAAATGCTGCTGCTGATTGGCGCAGGCGTTCCGCCACCATTTCGATGGCGATGAAAAGGCTCGGGCAGGACTTGTTCCAACAGGGCTCTCACGGGTTTGTGGTTCATGTGTTCGCACTAGGTTATAGGCTTTAGGTTGAATTACTCCGCCCGATAGTATACCAGACAAAGATGAGGAAATGTGGAATGAGCGGCTGCATCAGGGGATTGCTCTTAGCAAAGCCTTGAAGACTGCTGCTAGTACTTCCCCAGGACCCCCGCCCCCTTGCCCCAAGGAAGTCCGTGGTAAGTGTGCTTGTGCGCGTAGATAGCTGGACTCGTCGGACTTGACTACGCAAGAGGCCTGTGAAGTGAAGTGAAGTGTATAAGTCGTGGGTCCGGGGTCCTCGCTCCAAGCCCTCAGAAGTTAGAAGTCAAACGTGTGTTGTTGATCCTGTGGGGAGGATCACAAATGTTGCCCAGTCGGCAAAACACCCAAATCAGTTTGATCAACCACTCGACGTCCAGCGGGAAAATATGCAATAGGTGTGATTGCTGCGTCAACATACATCGGTCTCATCCGAACTGAAGTATGCCCACGACAAGAGCTTGCTGCATCCAAATGAAACTCCACCTCGGACGATGTCTCCATGGTTCCGGAAGAGGATATCAAGCAAGCCAACCCAATCCAACCATGTGCGCGATGCCCCTGGAGTGATCCAGCACATGTCACATCGAAAAGGTTCCACAGGATGTTGCACAGATTGCAAGCGGAAAGTCGGGTGCTACCGCGATCAGGGGTTCCCTAGTTCATGTTTCGGGGGTTGGGCGACGGATTGGGGGTCACCACCTGTCACCACATGTTGCCACCAAGCAGGCTTTGTCGACCCTCGTCGAGGACCGCGTTGCTCTTTGCAGACTCAGACATACTCATAACGGATGCGTTGCGGATGTGGGGTTCCATGGCTTCTTGCTACTTCGGTATGTTTTTCTCAGGGCAAGCCATGCCTTTGCTCTACGCGCGTTGTGGAGTACCGCTCCCTGCACTCTTGGGCCTAAACCCTTGCCGGCATGGTGGTTCTCTACTTTGCTGGCCTGCCAGGTGGGGTCATTGACAATATGATGAAGACGCATTTCTCACCCAAGCCAAGTACCCGAAACCCATAAAAAGACCGAGGAAGCCTGGGGCTTAGGAACTCCAGGCGCCATCTTGAACCGATGTCTCTTCCAAGGCTCAGCCCGAGCTTTCAGTCCCGGTCCTAAGGAGCTGCACCCCCTTCACAGCCCAAAAGATCATGTCAAGATATCTTGTTCCTTCTCATTTGGGGTGGCTCAGACCGCTAGGACCCGCTAGGATGGCTGTATTTTCAAGAGCAACCCACCCTTCCCGTAATGGAAGGAGGGCATGGCAGGCTTTCTGGCTTCCTGTCTGCATATATGCCTTTGTTCTTGTATCACTTCTTGGGGTCTTTTTTGCTTCTGTCAAAACTTGGGGGTTTCGGGCTTGGGGGGGTGTTCAAAGAAATAGGGCGCAGCGAGTGGAACGTCAAGGATTTGGGCTGAAGCTCCTGCCACGCTTAAGAGTTCGGGGGCATGACGTGCGTCTGCAATCCTCCGAAGCTCCTGTGCCTTATGCGCCCCCCGGCATGTAAGAAGACACGGTGGCATCACTTGCGCGCTGGAGGCTGCCGCCAGCCGCGCGTTTGAGGCGCTTTTGCCTTGCACCGCTTGCCCAACGCTTGCGGTGTTACTAATCGGGGCTATGAGTTCGGGCTACGGCCGAAGATTTGAACAATGTGAACTGCCAAAACCTCGGGTTCCTGGAAGCACAAGCCATCTTGCCTTCCCCCCCAAACAAAGCAAAATTTCAAAAACCTCTGACACATCTCCAAAAGCCTTGACGACAACTCTGGACACTGCATGCGGCTGCATGCGTGATCCGCAAAGCTTCAGTCCGTGCCTATGCCTGAACGCAGGCGGCGGTAGTACGGGGCATCAGTTTCCGCCAAGCTGCAGATGAGGCAAATCATGGTAGCACCTCGCGAGAAAGTTGGTTCTCAGGCCTGAACAGATTTTGGGTTAGGGTCACGAATGTTGCCATTGTGGACGTGGGGCTTTATGATGGTGAGGGTTCCATGCTTTGAAGGTATACGCTGCATATGTCAGTCGTAGAATCAATCAGCTTTCGAGTTTTTTCATCGTCATTCACCTGAGGCTTCTTCTTTCTACCCTAAACTACCCTGTCAACACCGGACCCTCCCAAACGAACCCTTGCGGTGAAAGCCCCCTTTTGGCCAGGCAGCCCGGGCGGCTTTGGAGGTGCAATGAGATCTGGTAGATCTGGGGAGCACTGCCCTGGTGCTGTTTGTAGGGGTGTGTTACCGTGTGTTACCGCTTGCTGTTGGGTTCAGGGAAACTCTGATACTTGGCAATCTCAAAAGGAATCCTGTATAAGAGGGGCCCACGAAGGGGCAGTTAGCAAAATCCTCCGATGAGCGCTCCAGGTGTTGTCAAAAGTGTGTGTGTGTGGGTTTAGGGTTTAGGGTGGTTTAGGATCGGGTTTCGCGCGCGTCCAATCATTCTCACGATGGGCAATGACCACCATCCAATGCGCCGCAAAAGAGCCTGCATACAGCTGTGTTTTAGCGGCGGAAAAGGTTTAAGGTTTAGGGCCTACAGTAAACCCGAAGCCCCAGAGTCCTTTTACCCCTAAAAGCCTACACGTCCCAACCAAGCCCCTAAAGGTTGTAGAAAGTTTAGGGCGAAGTGAGCTCAAGAGTCCTGTTCAGGCAAAGGACCATGCAAAGCCTGTGCCAGCAACCCGACAGCAACGAAGAAATTTGGGTCGGGGGAGGGGGGGGGGGGGTGTCAGCCAAGGGCCAAGGTCTGCTTTTGGGTCTAGGTTTGTGGGTTCCTCAATAACTCAACACCAAGCCCTGAAGTTTACGACTGCACTCAGAGTCCTCTTTGCCACCATATTGATCGCCCTGGTTTATGTTTATGTCAATAAAAGGAGGTTTTAACGCTCACAGCTACACGGCGATCATCCTTTCAGGAGTCTGCGCTTTAGCTCAATGCAAATCCACAGAGCCTTGATGGCTACATCATGAAGCCAGTTCGTGGCTTGTTTGGGACCTGGGCCAATGTCCATCCCAATATGCTGGTGACAACCGCCTCACCCCCCCCCCTGGCACCATGTGATTTACAATCCGATTGTGGTGTGAGGCTGCGCAGCGGTGGTGGCAGTGGTGGCCGTTTCATCAGGACTGACATGGCGAGAGGTTTCTGCTGCAATGCCGTAGGTCAGCGCAACCACAATGCACTTTGCTGTTTTGACTGAGTAGGTGTGGTTTCGGCGAGACGTCTTTGCAGCCTATGCCGCAGATCTTTCAACAGTTGACTTCACTCGCGCCACAGAGTCTCCGCCAAGCAATGAGCCGTGGTACGCGCAAGTCCCTATTTATAGGCTAAACCCCATCTCCAAACTGCAACACGTGCATTGCGCCACAACCCCCACAACCCTGAAGAGCAACGGAGGAGCTTCCGGCAGTCACAGTGAAGGAGCGAGCCGTTCTGAATAGCATGGGCGCGCTTGGCTAGAGCATACTGTGCTAAAGAGGTACTACTTTAGGGGACCTTAAATCTACAAAATGGCGGCATATGGCGGCATGCAATGCCGCATCGGCCGCATCGGCCATGGGAATTGAATTGGCACTTGTTGAAGGACGGTGCGCATGTCAACATGTAGGAAGGCAAATTATGTCAACCGAGACGGTCAGGTCAGGGTCATGACGCTGGTATAGAAGGTTGTGAGAAGCATCCTTGGGATGTCCAGGAGAGTAGATAGTTATCATTGCAATCATCTCAAGCACGTTTGCCACGAGCAGGCTCTTGCCACAAGTGCTGATCTCATATACGGTAAGCTGGCAGTCTCCAAATTATGCGACCTGACCCTGCGCACAATACCGAGCACTGGACTAGTGTGCTCTCGGGTCGTAAGGGTAGCGATTCACCGCCAGGAGTGGCGCGCTGATGAGGTCCACTGCACTGCATGTGACGGGGAGTGGTTTGTTTAGTGTGGGTTGTGGACGAATGCACGCAGCCACGGCAATGGTCGAACGATTTGATTTTCTTCCTCGGAGTTCCCCAGAGTTCATTGGCAGAGGAACAGCATACATGACGCATCCGGGCTTTTAATGTGAGGGCTGTTAAAGCATTCATTGAATGGTAAATTATGAAGCCAAGGAGCCGTGTTGTGACGGCATGCCGGCGGGTCCAGGGTTGGGGTTTTAAGCAAATTCAATGATCCGTTGGTAGTTTGATGGCCGCTTTTGAGCATGACCTCCGCTGAACAAGCACTTCAACTCAGCTCCGAAGTCTCAGGGGTCCCCTCCCATGACCACCCCGCATGGTGCCTGCAGATGCGCGGCCGCAGCACGTCGCCGTCCAAGAGGTGGCAGGCGTTTCCTGCCCCTCCCATTAAGGTGGGGCGTGGACGCGGCCGTGTCACGGAGCACCTCGGCCACTTCGGGTGTCTTGATGTCGTCAGCATTCGTCAGCTCTGAGATTCTAACCGCATAGAGAGTGCAGACATCAGGAGCTACAAGTTGCAAGACAGTGTTACTCCAGCGGCTCTCAGATGCTCCCAGGCGCATGATGCGCGGAGACTTTGTTCAGATCTTTCAAGCGTGGACCTTAGCTCGGAAACTGCCATACCATGTGACACACGCGTTCTTTGTCTTGATTGTTTCGGCTGATTCGCACTTGCAACAAATGTCTAGACGGCGCAATTGCAAACGTGCTCATATATGTGCTCACTACGTTTATTCAGCATCCGATACTGCTAAAGGCATATGTTTCCAAGGTGGCTCAGAGATCTCAAAGAATAAGGGGATGTTTGTGGCTCGCGGTCAACAATTGGGTCAACTTCGGAGTAGCTTGGTGCAACGAGCGAAGCCGCAGCGAAGCCGCAGCGAAGCCGGGGATGACCCTTCAAGGAAGACGTGGCGCGTACCCATCGTGCAAGGAGTCTCCAGCGAGGCCGCAGCCATGCCCACCGATCCTAAAATGAATTCTTTCGAGTCCTGCACGCCTGCAAGCCGACCTATTCTCAGGTTAGCTAGACAAATGGGTCTCGAGGTTCAGGGCTTTGTTGCCCCAAGGAAACGCCCCGGATGCAACCCCATGCATGATTCGAAAGCTGCGGGCGATCGTTATAATAGACTAGTTATCGAATTGTAAACCCTTGCACGCGCCACCTCGGCAGCCAGGCCAGCTCAAGGCACGCTTCGACACGTTTTAGTGGGGAAGGGTGCCGGATACGTTCCAAAGTTCCAAAAGGCTGTGGGGGGGGTGGGGGGTCCCAGGGACGTTCCAGGGGCGCCAAAACCGTACGGGTTCTGGCGCACAGCCATGGTCGTGTAGGCCCTGTGCCTGGGGCCCTCTATCGGGCCCCCTATGAAACGTTCAATGACACAATCAATGACAGCTTCAGATGCATTTTACGATCACCTGACAGCACATTAGTGAGCAGCTTCAGCAACCCCCTTGTTTCAGCACTTGAGCCAAAGCAGTGACGACCGCTTTGGGTTAAGCAGGCACACCGTCCCTTAAGTCTATGCTTCAGCATTCAACTCGTCACTGTCGTTTGACTTGAATCAGTCTTAATCTCACAGCAGTAACTAACAACACCAGTGGCTTCTCTCAGAAAAAAACAGTTGCGTTGCAACTCAGGCTCACTCAGTGTTTTTGCAAGACAGCAATTGAAACAATTTCAGGCAGCAGGCTTGTACAGTGCTGCAAAGGTCTCACACTGCAGCTTTGCAGTAGCAAAGCAGTCACCAAAGCTGGTGAACAGTCGGTTTGCTGCAGCTTGCTCGACCAGGCCAGTCTCAAGGTAGCCAGTGACCTCCAGTCACTCCATCAAGTGCTGAAACAAGGGACTGCTGAAGCTGCTCATTGATGTGATCTTGTTTAGTGAGCGCATCTGAAAGTGTAGCTGAAACGTGTCATTGAACGTTTCACGGGCGGGTGCGGGGATACGGGGGTCCTTGGAAAGTGTTTGGGGTGCATGGGCAGGCCCGAAGCTGGCCTTATCGCGGCGCGGGATGCAGCTGGCCTTGGGCACTTCGGGGCGAGGGAGGGGGGGGGGAGGGGGACCATTAAATCGCTTGGCAGATCCTGGTCTGCTTGTTCCAGACGCCTGTCGGCCGGAGGCCGAAGCGAATTATGGGGCCACCACGGGGATTCTAGGAGCGGACGCGGCGTCTTGAAGGCCCATAGGCATCAAACCGAAGCTTCCCCTCGATTGCGATAGGCGCCCGCGGACGCTGACGGCTCCCCTCCTGGCTGACATATTCTTCACCGCTAGACGGCTTAGGGTGCGCAGTGCAGGGTATATTATATAAGGTTTAGGGTTTGGGTTTACAGGTTTCATGGGAGCTATCCATCCCTTTACAGTTAGTAGCCCGTGGAGGAGCGCCAGCCACGTGCTTTGCAATCAGTTGGCTGTTGTGGCCGCTGCCACAGCCAGAAGGGATGATGGTGGAAACAGTGCAAGATATTAAAGCCTTACTTTGTGCCCTTACTTTGCTGTACATGACGTCAGCATGTTTTTCCCGAGAAACAGCTGCCCTTTGCAATTGATGACCGGGCTACGCTTCCGACGCAGTCGCCGCTGAATCCGCATGGTTTCAAGGCTTCAAGGCCCGACGTGAATACGTGCAGAGCCGCGAAGCAGCCAAGCTCCGTTTTGCCAGGGCCGCTGTCAAAAGGGTGGCGGATGGTACAACAATTGAGCACAGAATTCAGACCTGGGGCCATCACCAAAGATCATTAGCTGCTTGAGGTTGGACTCCAGCTTCTGGTGAGCGCGGAGGAATGGATCAAATTTCATTCAAAGTTCACACCGCAGGGAGTCTAGAGGCTTTTGGAGGTCGGAGTGGAAACGGCCCCGAATCCTCGAAGTGCTTTGGGAGACCCTTGGGCCATTTAAAGGGTGACGGTTGAAGGGGAATAGTAACGAGATTAAGAGTTGTATAGGAAATAGTACGAACTGTAGTCATAGTGAGGTTCAGTTTGCGTGCTCGAGGGGCCTGCGGCACTCTGTATTTGCCCACTGTGCCCACGGGCTTCGATTGCAACAAAGCTGAATTTGCATGCCTCCGAAGGTCCATTGTCCGTGCAAAGACGCGCAACCGCCTTTTGAATGCGAGAAAAGGAGAACAGAGGGCTTCTTGAGCTTTTTACTCAACTGGTTTGGAGAGTTGTGGGGGCCTGGGGGCTTTCTGTTTTCTGTTGGAAATGTTCGGTTATTCAGAAAAGAAGCCCGTTCTTCTGATCCTCGCATTGTCGGCTCAGAGCGCCCGTGCTTAACCGCCGTGTGCCTTCGCAAGGCTGGGCTGCGATATCACTGGCACTGCAGAGTCGTACACGATAAGAGAACCTTATGCTGATGCGAATGACAAGGTCTTGTGTACCCAGGATGAGGCAGTTTAGCCCGTTTAGCACGCAAGTGTGAGGCAAGGGTTGACTCAAGATGCCCTTAAGAGACCCCTGAATCCTGCACTAATCTCTGCTCCAAGCCCATCCGAGGGACCGGGAATCCGTGCCCACATGATCCTCATTGTCCTCTTGAACTGTGACGTGCTTGCAGCTGACAGGTCCCAAAAAACATGTCCAGCCGCGATGTGGAGAACAAGAACGAGCCGCTCAGTTGCCTCATGCTGTTGCTCAGTGTTTGGGGTTGTCAGCAGGCGCCTGAGTTCGGAGCACGCACCTTGAAGTCCATTTCAATAAACTGCCGAATCTGAATCTGCAACTTCATATCAAGCCCCTCAAGCCCAACTCAAGCCCAACCCCACACCCGGACAGAGAAACCTGAATTGCCTCCCAGGCCCAGCGCCTCTTCTGAGAAGAAGGTCCCTGTGCAACAGAAAGGGAACTTGGAGATTGGGCAGCTTTGGGCAAGTTTGGGTTCTTAAACTTGGGGGCCATTAGACTTCAAGCGGTGTGGGGCTGCAACTCCCGTCCAGCTCCATTGCTGCACGCGCCACGATGTTTACCTTTTTGCTCAGACACTAGATTCCCGTTTTCTTCAAGTCCTATATCCCTCGCACACTCTAACCCCTCCCTGCTCGCGACCTGGTTCTGCGTGAGTGTTTTGGAGCCTGGCTGACTAGCTATGGATCTAGGGGATGCGCAAGTACACCATTTTCACAAGATACTTTGCGTGCTGTTGTTGTTGTTGTTGTTGTTGTTGTTGTTGTTGTTGTTGTTGTTGTTGTTGTTGTTGTTGTTGTTGTTGTTGTTGTTGTTGTTGTTGTTGTTGTTGTTGTTGCTGTTGCTGTTGCTGTTGCTGTTGCTGTTGCTGTTGCTGTTGCTGGTGTTGTTGTTGTTGTTGTTGTTGTTGTTGTTGTTGTTGTTGTTGTTGTTGTTGTTGTTGTTGTTGTTGCTGTTGCTGGTGTTGTTGTTGTTGTTGTTGTTGTTGTTGTTGTTGTTGTTGTTGTTGTTGTTGTTGTTGTTGTTGTTGTTGTTGTTGTTGTTGTTGTTGTTGTTGGTGTTGCTGTTGCTGTTGCTGTTGCTGTTGCTGTTGCTGTTGCTGTTGCTGTTGCTGTTGCTGTTGTTGTTGTTGTTGTTGTTGTTGTTGTTGTTGTTGTTGTTGTTGTTGTTGTTGTTGTTGTTGTTGTTGTTGTTGTTGTTGTGGTTGTCGTTGTCGTTGTCGTTGTCGTTGTCGTTGTCGTTGTCGTTGTCGTTGTCGTTGTCGTTGTCGTTGTCGTTGTTGTTGTTGTTTCTCCGGTCCCACCCAAGGCCCTACAAAACCTTGACAAATCTTGAAGACCAAAGCTCTAACAGACGGCGGATCCAACATGCTTCCCAGGAGACTTGGGGCGAGTACCTGGCCAAGTTGCTGCTTGGCCGTCGTGTGTAGACGGTTGAGGGCTGTACAGACGCCACTGTTAGCATCAGTAACATCCCATTGCGAAGGGCTTTCGTTATTTGGCAGATACATGCCAACTGCCTGACCTAGAGACTTGGGAGAATGGCAAGCCCGGGAATCAGTTGAAAGCGAGTACTAGCAAGCGTCCAAGAGCACGCGCAGACCTCTTTATGCCTTTATGTGTTCTTCAGATGTCTTCAGCGGTTACGTTGCGTCAGCTTCCACGCAGCTTCGAGGTTCACTGGACAGAAGCCACCAGATGAGGAGGACGCAGAAGCAGTTTAGCGGAGATGGTTTCCGGGATGGCTTGTTTCGGTGGGTGCCAACAGTGTCGGTCATTGCTCTGCGCTCTGACATGGAATGGATGCTGATGTCATGGGCAGTGGGAAACGACCAGACGAGGTAGTTTCTTGCGAATTATTGTAGGCAAGGTTTCTCCATTACAGAGCGACTCTTCTCACTGTTGGAAGTGCCAGCCGTTGACATCGTGGAAGATTCCTTTTGCAGCACTTGTGAGTGCTGGGAGGACAGTCCAGGAGTGGTGCCGTCCTAAGGGCAGGACTCAGTGATTATGAATCATGAAAGAGATTTCAGGAGGTTGCTCATTAGGCATGTATCTTGTGTGAGTGTGACATGGTGAGATCTGGCCTCGTATTTTGTTCGCCTGGTTTTGCTGGGTGTCCCTTCTCGACAGCTCATCCGCTCTGTTGGAGGCCCTTCTGAGGCTCTGTGGGGTTTGTGCGAAGAATGCGTCTTCCTCGGCTTCTACCAAGAGTGGGTGGGGATGTTCGAAGTAAAATAAGAATGAGCGAGGAGTAGACCCGGCGAGGAGAAGAGTTGAGTTCAAAATCTAACAACCCCACACCGAGGGTGGGGAATATTTTTTTACTGTGGGGGATTTTTTTAGTACAGATGCTTGCATTGCCCATAGTCCACTTGGGACTCTGCAGGCGTAAAGTTGTGCTCAAAATAACATAGATGTTTCATATTCAGCAGCGGTTTCCCTTAGGCCTTCATCTGTGGCCGCTTTATTCAAGGGAGACTCGTACCCCTACAGTTGTACCCCTAAAGGTTCCCCTTCATATACTCCTAATATGGCCCTTATATTCCCCTAGGGATCTTTGAAAAGGGCCCCCCAAACCCAAGGGCACAACCTTAAGGGTCCAGCTACAACCCCAATTATGTGCGTTCCCGGTACTTGAACTGTGCACACCAAACCCGGATTTGCTATCGGCTCCTCAAACGTCTCGCAGCAAATCCACAACTGCGGTTTGTCGAGTCCTCCTCATGAGGTACCCGTTTCTCAGATGTTTTTTCAACCTCAAAAAACAGCGGCTGGTCTTCGGGTCATGACAAATTACGTCACAGGCAAGCAATGAGCTTCACCACCAAGGTGCACCTCGTACCGCCGCCTGGCCTCACAAAGGCCGAGCGCTCGTCATGCCCAGCAGCGGCACGCTGCCCAGTCAGTTTTCGCAGCGTTGCGACAGCTGAAAGTGTCCCAGGTTTCGAACCGAGTTCGTTAGATGCTGTGAGGCTGTGTCTTGTTCGAGGCAAACCTGCCACCTTTACCTTCTCTGTCGCCAAGAGAATGCAGATTACATTTGGGGTTTTTTTGGGAACATCTCACCATCCTGGTGTTGTGGAAATTTCGAGGACTGAGGAACCCATCTTGTCTCTGATCTCATAATCTCGCGAACATTCGTGATCACAAGGATACTTGCAAGGAGAGCTGAGAGAGATGTATCCACCTGTCTAAATGTCACGACATCTGGGGCCCAGGCAGCCTCGGCACCCCGACGGTGAGGCGCTGACGGCCCAATGCTGGTTGCCATCCTTGGCGCAAGGGCTAGGCGTGGGCATCTAGTCTCAATCCTGATAGGTTAATCTCGAGCCTTGTTGCCGCTTTCACGTGTCGACCGTTTTTGGATGGGAGCAGATGCGACGAAAGAAAGAGCCGGTTCTGATTCTTCTTGTATAGGATCCCCTCCAAGGACTGATATTTCACCAAGAGTTCGGTAGCCCCCCGCAGCTTCTATAAGCTCACAGGCCTCAGGCTTAGACTCTGGAAGCGAAAGCCTCAAAACGTGAACGCCTTATCAGCTTGGCAGTTCGCGTCACATCTTTTCAGCTCCATGATGGCTCTGTATGTTCAGTCTGCTCAAGCACCTCTGTTCGCGCATCCTCCCATTTAGCAGTTAGCAAGTTTTCCTCAATGGCCGCGACTGCCTCAGGGATTCAGGTGTTGAGGGCTTATCAGGGTGACCATTGCTTGGTTGACGGTGCGTTGTCAACCAGAACACTGTCTTGTCTCCGAGGCTCCAGAAGTTTTGTTGATTTGTTTTTCGTATGCTTGCTAGGGGGATTTAACACTCAGGGTTTGGGATCCACTAAGACTTATCTTGCCACCGTGGCACACCCCTTGAAGGCCGGTTCGGTGAAGTCGAAGTCGAACGCCACGCTTGAACTGATGCTGGGAAGTTGCAGCTGTAGCACTTCAACTTCAAGCCAGGAAGACAAAATGAGGAACACAACGGCACGGGGAAGAGCTTTGGGCAACCCCCTCCCCGGCCCCACGGCCCCCACCACCACGGCTCAACAAAGACAAAGAGTTTCTGTCAGAAACTGTTGGTCATTACTTTTTGGGATCCCCTATGCAATCTCCATACACATCTATCGGTCTAAAAGCCCTGGACTGCGTGGGCTTTACAGCTGGCAGGCGAAGGCGGGCTCTCACAACCGCAGGTGGGTTTTTGATCTGACACCGGGCGCATGAGTGAACCCTTGGGAAGTTTAGTGTTTAGGGTCGGGTTCATGTGAAATGCAGGGTTTTTGGCTTCGAAACTACAGCCAACAGGTTCCTTCGCTGCCATTGATTTTGCGTGTGTTTTGCACATTAATGGGCTCGGGGATGGGTTTGGGGGTGGGTTTGGGGTGGGTTTGGGGTGGGTTTTGTTAGAGGTGCGTCTGGGAGAGTCTTGGATGGGGGGCGTTTGGCTTAGAGGTGCGTCTGGGTGGGTCTTGGAGGGGCGTGTTTGGCTCAGAGGTGCAGGGGTGTGGTGGGGCGGTGCCATAAGCAAATGGAATGGGCAAGGCGTGGTTTCCAAAAGCCTTTTGTGTCTCGGAAGGACGGGAGACCACTAGCAAGTGCCCCAGGACGATGAGGGGGGATTCAGAGGGCTTCCGCAAGGGTTGCTTGGAATTCGTTTTGGGGCAATATTATACTATTCTCCCACCGCGCTTTCCAAGGAACGCCCTTCCTACTATGCAGTCTGGGGCAGGGAGCTGTTCTTAAGGTTCCTTTGTCTGGGGCAGGGAGCTGTCCTTAAGGTTCCTTTGGCGGGTCGGGTTCATGCGAAATGCAGGGTTTTTGGCTTCGAAACTACAGCCAACAGGTTCCTTTGTCGCTGCCTTTGATTTTGCGTGTGTTTTGCACATTAATGGGCTTGGGATGGGTTTGGGGTGGGTTTGGGTGAGAGTCTTGGATGGGGGGCGTTTGGCTTAGAGGTGCGTCTGGGTGGGTCTTGGAGGGGCGTGTTTGGCTTAGAGGTGCGTCTTGCAGGGGTGTGGTGGGGCGGTGCCATAAGCAAATGGAATGGGCAAGGCGTGGTTTCCAAAAGCCTTTTGTGTCTCGGAAGGACGGGAGACCACTAGCAAGTGCCCCAGGACGATGAGGGGGGATTCAGAGGGCTTCCGCAAGGGTTGCTTGGAATTCGTTTTGGGGCAATATTATACTATTCTCCCACCGCGCTTTCCAAGGAACGCCCTTCCTACTATGCAGTCTGGGGCAGGGAGCTGTTCTTAAGGTTCCTTTGTCTGGGGCAGGGAGCTGTCCTTAAGGTTCCTTTGGCGGGTCGGGTTCATGCGAAATGCAGGGTTTTTGGCTTCGAAACTACAGCCAACAGGTTCCTTTGTCGCTGCCTTTGATTTTGCGTGTGTTTTGCACATTAATGGGCTTGGGATGGGTTTGGGGTGGGTTTGGGTGAGAGTCTTGGATGGGGGGCGTTTGGCTTAGAGGTGCGTCTGGGTGGGTCTTAGAGGGGCGTGTTTGGCTTAGAGGTGCGTCTTGCAGGGGTGTGGTGGGGCGGTGCCATAAGCAAATGGAATGGGCAAGGCGTGGTTTCCAAAAACCTTTTGTGTCTCGGAAGGACGGGAGACCACTAGCAAGTGCCCCAGGACGATGAGGGGGGATTCAGAGGGCTTCCGCAAGGGTTCCTTGGAATTCGTTTGGGGGCAATATTATACTATTCTCCCACCGCGCTTTCCAAGGAACGCCCTTCCTACTATGCAGTCTGGGGCAGGGAGCTGTCCTTAAGGTTCCTTTGGCGGGTCGACAGCCAACAGGTTCCTTTGTCGCTGCCATTGATTTTAGCGTGCGTTTTGCACATTAATGGGCTCTGGGATGGGTTTGGGGTGGGTTTTGGGTGGGTTTTGTTCGAGGTGCGTCTGGGAGAGTCTTGGATGGGGGGCGTTTGGCTTAGAGGTGCGTCTGGGTGGGTCTTAGAGGGGCGTGTTTGGCTTAGAGGTGCGTCTTGCAGGGGTGTGGTGGGGCGGTGCCATAAGCAAATGGAATGGGCAAGGCGTGGTTTCCAAAAACCTTTTGTGTCTCGGAAGGACGGGAGACCACTAGCAAGTGCCCCAGGACGATGAGGGGGGATTCAGAGGGCTTCCGCAAGGGTTCCTTGGAATTCGTTTTGGGGCAATATTATACTATTCTCCCACCGCGCTTTCCAAGGAACGCCCTTCCTACGACGCAGTCTGGGGCAGGGAGCTGTCCTTAAGGTTCCTTTGGCGGGTCGGGTTCATGCGAAATGCAGGGTTTTTGGCTTCGAAACTTTACAGCCAACAGGTTCCTTAAGCCAAACACCCCCTTCCAGGGTGCACCTCTAAGCCAAGACACACCCGTCCAAAACGCGCCTCTAAGGCAAACACCCCCCCCCCCTCCAAAGCCGCACCTCCAAGCCAAACACCCCTCAGGTGTCCAAGCCCCATTTCAGGCCTTTTTTTGCTTTTCCCCATAGGAGGGTTTGGCGTGGATTTAGAGGTGCGTCTGGGAGAGTGTTTGGCTTAGAGGTGCGTCTTGGAAGGAAGTGTTTGGCTTGGAGAGCGGCGTGTTTGGCTTGCAGAGCGGCGTGTTTGACTCTTATCCGTAACAAATCGTACTCCCGGTCTTGGTGGGACGGGAGGGGACATACGACATACGACAAACCCAGAAACTTTAGGGTCTCAATGCGGAGGTGAATGGGTTTGGGATGGGTTTAAGGTGGGTTTTGGGCGGGTTTTGGGCAGGGTTTGGGTGGGTTCGGTGGGTTTAATGCGGGGGTGAAGTGGGTTCGCCACGCCTGCCAGGGTTTCGAGTGGGTTTGGGATGGGTTTTGGGTGGGTTTTGGGCGGGTTTGGGTGGGTTTCGGTGGGTTTTGCGTGGGTTTTGCATGGGTTTGACCCACGCAAAACCCACACAAGCCCATTCTATGTGTTTTTTGCACCGCCCAACTACACCCCTGCAAGACGCACCTCTAAGCAACACGCCCCTCCAAGACCCGCCCAGACGCACCTCTTGTGAGGAAGCAGGATTTAAACACCTGCCCATTCCATTTGCTTATTGCACCGCCCAACCACACCCCTGCAAGACGCACCTCTACCGCTCTCCAAGCCAAAACACTTCCCTCCAAGACGCACCTCTAAGCCAAACACCCCCCATCCAAGACGCTCCAGACGCACCAAAACACCCCCTCCAAGACCCTCCAAAGCTAAGACGCACCTTTAAGCTAAACACCCGCCCTTCCAGGGTGCACCTCTAAGCCAAACACACCCCTCCACAACGCGCCTCTACGGGAACCCCGCCCTCCAAGACGCAAACACCCTCAAGTTTCACACGCCAAATATTCCTCTCCAAGACCCTCCAAGGGACACCTCTAAAGCCAAATACCCCCCCCCCTCTAAGACGCACCTCTAAGCCAAACACCTCCCTTCCAGGGTGCACCTCTAAGCCAAACACCCCCCTTCCAGGGCGCGCCTCTAAGGCAAACAACCCCCCCTCCAAAACACAAACACGCTCCTCCAAAGACGCACCTCTAAGCCAAACACCCCCTCCAAGATGCACCTCAGGTGTCCAAGCCCCATTTCAGGCCTCTTTTTGCTTTTCCCCATAGGAGGGCTGGGCTACGTGCCGCCTGTTCCGGCCTGTTTTGGGTTTTCCCCATAGTAGGGCTGGGGTTACGTTCCGCTCTTTGCTGGCTACGTTCCGCCTGTTTTTGCTTTTCCCCATAGTACGTAGGACAGGTTACGTTCCGCCGCCCCCGTTTGGCTATTATTCCGACGGGAAGGTGGGAAAGGTAGCTAGCACTGTAGGGACCGCAAGCGGCCAAATGGGGTTTAAATGAATGGAAAAGCCCCTGACACGTTTACAAGCTCTTTTGAACTATCGAGGCGCGTTTTGGAGGGGTGTGTTTGGCTTAGGTGCACCTTGGAAAGGGGGGTGTTTGGCTTAGAGGTGCGTTTTGGATGGGAGCGTTTGGCTTAGAGGTGCGTCTTGGAGGGTCTTGGAGGGGGGTGTTTGGTGCACCTTGGAAGGGGGGTGTTTGGCTTAGAGGTGAACCCTACGAGCACTAAGCGAGGGGAGGAGTTCCCAGGGTTTGTCGTATGTCCCCTCCCTTGGCGCTCGTAGAGTCCCACGAAGGGATAAAATGGAAGGGGTCTTGAGCGTTGCTTTGGAGTCCCCAAGGTGCACCTCTACGCCAAACACCCCTCCAAAACGCGCCTCCTCAGCCAAACACCCCCCCTCCAAGACGCAAACCCCCCTTCAA